TCTTTTAGAAATTAGAATTCATATATGTACTTATATCTTCGTAATTTATTAGTTTAATCTCTAACTAAATGTATTACATCTTAAATTTGGAAGATAATGCGTGCATCTTCTATCAACGAAATATGGAAATCTAGCTAATTTAATAACTTTTTGTAAGCATTCACCTAATGCCCCCATCTCTCTCAAGTTGTACTACAATGTCTTTTGGCTGTTGGTCAATAATATCTCTAGGTAACTATTTAAACCCATGCCCTATATATGAGTTCAATGTTCATCGTACCTTTTCTTTATTAATAATGCCTCCATTTATCCTGCAATTTCTTTCATTTTCCCAAAATCAAATAACTGAATCTAGAACCACTAATCCATTTGAAAATTAATTTACGAAATATAGTATCATAGAGAAAAATAATCACAACCTTATCTACTTGGATCTAACTTTGGTTAGAACACAAGCATAAATTGGTTTCTTCTTGATTATATAATTAAGTATTACTCACAAATATACATGTTATATATATATAGGCAGCCAAGTATGTATGCACATGCACCTGAATCAAATGAAGAAGAGCACGCATAACTAATATGACTACAAAAGTAGAGCCCAAATAAAGACATAGCGAAAACCAAAAACGATAGTACACAACCTAACTAGGGGCAAGAAAAAGTAATACTTATTTATATTATCACCAGATAAATGGGTAAAAATATGTGCAACTTGGTACGGATCACATTAAATAATCATCTTGATTATAATATAAATCCCGTTCGAGCTAGTTCCGATGTTGTTTTCTGTTCATACTTTCAATAAATTTTTGGAAACCCTAGACACACACACAGACTATATAGTTTAGATGAAAAGTTCAGGTAGATCAGGAAAAAAGGAGATTGTTTAGATTACTAACCAAATCATGAATTTTATATAAATGATATAGAAAAAAAATGAAACTATATTTAAAGAGGAGTAGAAAAAACTTTTTTTTAGGATTCAGACTAGGATCGAATCTATCAAGTACCAAAATCTAAGATGGTTGCTTTAGTCAATTACGGTTCAGAAAAAATCAGACCAAGACACACACACAAATAATAACATCAAATTTTAATATACCAAAAAAAATTACAAATAAGTAAAAGAAATTAATTTAATTTAATTTAAGAATGAAGAACAAATTGATGAAGAAGACATACTCAGAGTTGGAGAATTCGTAAAGCCTTCCTCTCTGAGAGAAGATGATGAGAGAGACTTGAGCATCGCAGAGTACTGAGAGCTCATAAGCTTTCTTCAACAAACCGTTTCTTCTTTTTGAGAAAGTCACTTGTCTACTCGTCGCGTTTTCTATTTTCTTCATCTCTATCTTTCCTCTCACCATTTTTCTTCTTTTGACTTTTTTTGTTGGTTCTGCCACAAGATCTGGAAAGATTTGAACCCTAAATTAGCTAGTGATCGGTTTACATAACTAGAGTTATAAAAAGAGTGAGAGAGAGAGAGAGAGAGAGAGAGAGAGAGAGAGATTGAGAGAGAGGGAGGGAGAGAGATCTCACCGGAGAGAGAGAGACTAAATGTCGGCAGAGAAATTGAAGAAGGAGATGAGCTAGTAGTGGAGAAAGGTTAAATTTTAAATTCAAGAAATCCTTAAGAAAGTATCATTTGCAAAGATTTGTGGATAAAATTAAAGAAGAAATCAAAGCTGAGGAAGAGAAGAAAGAGCTGGAATTCAACAAAAATGGAAAGAGAAAAAGGTATTTGTTTTTGTTTTTTTTTGTCAGGAACCCTAAATATGATCTGTGAGAGAAGGAGAAGGCAAGTTTTTTAATGTTATATTTATTTTCTTTTGGTATGGGTCACAAGACTCGCAATAAAATGATGTTATTCTTATTTTCGTTTTTATTCTTGATAATAATAAAGATTACGTATTTTAATCTATATCTTCTCCCCGCCACATACCAGGATAATTAGATGCCAAACAAAATAAACAGAATAACTATTTTTTGTATTGGTTAGAAAACAGCATAATTTCTTGGGGATTTCTATATTTCATTTATTTGAAATACAACCAGATTTTCATTAAAAAAATGATTCCTATATTTTTTCAGAAGAATATGAAGATTAACACTCGGCGCTCAAAAGGACTGAAGTAAAGAATAAATATTGTAGTTGTGAACCAATTATTGTATTTCAACTTTAGATAAACTTTTTTTTTTGAGAAAAGACAATCGTGGCAGGTTCAAATATTACATTAGAATAATGGTCGTACGAGTTATAACTATTAAAATATTAAATAAACTAAGCACTAGGATCCATATGGCGTGCCTTATGGTCTACGAAAACATATCCTTACCCTGTTTTGGTAAAATTACCGGAAAGACGAATACCGGAAAGTCTGCACTAAAATAGAAAATCTGGGAAGAGAGGAAGAGTCAAGACAAAAACAAAAAAAAACATATTATACAGAAAGGCATAATAGTTTGAAATATTGAACGAGATTGATATTGTGAGTTTGTGACCATGTTATGGCTGGATGAGAAGAATAGCATTGTGACGAGTTCCTAACAGAAGAAAAAACATAGGCAACTAGACAAAAGCTACGTGTCATCATATTAAAGGTTACGATTTAAGAAAATACTACATTTTTGATTTTTCCCCCTCTTTCCATTATTAATCTTTAGGACAATAATAAGAGAGGAGAAAACAGTATTGAAAAGAGCACGCCAAAAAGAAACAGTATCGAAATGTTCATCAACATCATCGTACAAACTGTCAGTGCTTTCTGTCACGTGTCTCGCACTTATTGGTTTCACCTGTTCGTTAACTGTTTCCTTCCTGGAAATTACACATTTGGAGCAATAAGACATTTTTAAATACTGCTTTACACGTTTTGAATTTTTATTTCCTAGTTAATTTGGATATTTTTCGCTGTTATAGCTTTACCAAAAGTCTGGAATGATTTTTTGTATGATTTGCAAGAAATGCGCCGTAAAGGTCAACATCGGTATATAATTTCTCTTGGAACGTTTTTGGGCGAATTTAATTTAACCCAAATGCAACAAAAGATTAAGCCCATAGGCCCATTTACATAGAAGATTATGAATAAAGACCGAAAGAAGAAGTCACCACACCACTCGCCACAAATCAGTTTTCCGCAATTGTTCAGCCGATTCAACTATCGTCGAGGATTTCATCAGTTTCAGACTCCTTAGCTTTCTTCTGGCTCTTTCACGATGATTCTTGTCGTCTATATGTTTCTGGGAAAGTCTGTTGACATAATGATATTGCATTCCATTATATATAAGTACGTCACTATAGGGCAGATTTGAACTAGTTCCCTGAAAAACGTTTCAATTGAGATATGGTCGCACGATAGTTTCAAGAAACACTATCCTGATTTATCCAACATGTGAGAAGGAAATTAAATCCAAGCAATCTTGTTTAACAATGGGTCTTTTCTGAAGATGACTTTAATTTTTTTTTTTGATAAAGAAGATGACTTTAATTACTATGTGACAAATTCTTCTTATAGCCAAAAAAAAAAAGAGGGTTTAACTGATGAATGGAAAATTGATGTCAAAAGATGAAATGTGCATGTAAGTTCTATTGAGGTTAAAAATCCAATAGCTAGTTTAAATGCAAGCGTTTTTATGATTTAGTAGCTTGAAAGACCAACCATTTTTTCATGTGTCTAAAAATCTCACTGATCAAAATTATGATAAGAAGCAAAAGGAACAAACGAACAAAGCGAAAGTGAAAATTAACTTACATCTATCAATCTCAATTTTGAGCCATGTCGAAGAAGAAGACTTGGAACTAAGACGGAACAGGTTTGAGATTGTGTTTAAGCGGAAGCAGTGACAGGGCAACTCTCCTTTGGCAAGTGACAGAGCGAACAGACAAGAACACAAAGGAGCAAATCGCACATTCGCCTGCCAATAGAAAGATGCCCTATTACTGCTCCTCTTATTGTTATCTTCTCCTCCATTGTTGCTTGCTTCTTTTTTTGCTCTGCGAGAAGGTTGGTTGGTTACTTATTGGACTCACCGCTCAGTGTATATATACTTATAACTTTTATTAAAAATGGTGACCTTTTGACATTTGAGTGATTGAGAGGAAAAAGGAAGATGCTTCTTGATGGGTTATTCCAATGGATATCCATCCCCATATTTTTTTTTTTCCAAGTGTTGCCTTTTGATGATGCTGCTTCTTATTATTTTGCTTCACAATGAAGCCATTCGAGGATGTTTTTTACCCACGTCCCAGTTTCGAAGCTATGACTTGTCTCTAAGCATTTCAAAGTTCGTAAGTATTTGTACATATCCACACACGTGCACGTTCATGGTTTCATATGCGGCGAGTACTAGAATGATTTTTTTTTCAATGAAAAAGAAAAGAAATCTGGTCTGAAGATAATTTATCTGTCGAGTGTGTAAATTGATTGTGAAAGTGGAAGAATTGGAATAAAAACTGATGATGGCATATCCTTTTTGAAGGGGTTATTCCATGAATATCCAGAAATTGAAAAACGGATCGTTTCGACAAGAATGTGATCTCTTAATTTTTTGCTTTTATGAAGAGCCAAAAGTTGTGAGCTTGTCATTTGACTCATCACACAAAATCCTCCAATTTTCAAACTGTTCTCAAATCTCATTCTTATTTCCTTTGGAGTGATTTGTTTGTTCCCCAAGTAGGTGCACCTAACGTTCCTTGCTTTCTACGTCATGAGACATCCTAGGCTTAGGGTTTTCGATTTGCATTCTTTTTGCCAATCAAGAACTGATATTATTATAAACAATTAATTTATACGTGAAAAAATAGAGAGTTGTAAAAAATTGCTTTGCAAAAATAAGCAAATTATGAGCTAACAACAAGTAAAACATAATAAATATGACAGTAATATCATGTTCTGCTGATATATAATTTTTAAAAGTAACCATATGATTAATTAAGATTGAGATGCCATGTATCCAAATCTGATTCAAAATTTTGTTTCTATGTTCTAAAACCATTTTCAAGCCCAAATAGCTAGAAGAGACATCAAACAAGCACCAAGAATTAGAAAAAAGCTACAAGCTAATTGTATCTTCATACTACTTAGAGCTTTGTGGTTCATGAATAGTGGAGCTACCAAATCAACAAGCGCCATGTAAATCAAGATTCCAGCAGCCGCAGCGTTAAGAAAACCGGACACCATTAGGGCCATCGGGCTATTCTCATTGTAAATCTCTGCAACTCCTATCCCGATTCCGATCCCTAGTGGTGCTGTGACTGCGAAGAACAACACCATAACCCATATTTTCTTAACTTTAAACTTTGCCTGCACGCAAACAAAAACGTGTTAAGTTGTTTTTTTAAGGGATTATCAGTTGATATAATCATAAATAAAAAGAGATTTTAACATTACCTCAGAGATGCAACCACCAAGACCAAAACCTTCAAACAATTGATGGAATGTTATTGCAGCTATGAGAGGCTTTATTGTGCTAACACTCGGAGATACTCCAAGTGATATTCCTATTATCACCGAGTGAACTACAATCCCCAATTCCAATATCTAAAACACCATAAGAAAAAGAAGAACATCTGATTAATACTAATCAATTTAACATGTGGGTTTGTCTAAAAATCAAGAATTTATTAAGTACTAAAGAAATGTTTGGATTTTGTCAATTGTTTTTTTTTTGTGATTTTACTTACTTGAGTGACAATCTTTTTCCTCAGATCAATGTGATCATCTTGGGGACCGAGCAGAGAGCCATGAGAATGTCCTTGTGTGGCATGAGTATGAACAGAGTCCTCCTCTTTGTCTCCACCCGTACTCACAGGCAAGGTCTTAGACTCATTCTCCAACCGAGATCTATTCAAATACCCTGAAGCAAAGGACTCAATCAGCATGGTCAAAATCGCTCCAGCCATGGCGACGAGTCCCGTCATCGGAAAATCTCCCCACGGTGGCTCTTCTCCGATGCACGGACTCGTGAGACTCTCGGTGGCATCGGGGAGAATGTGGACAAAACCGGTGGCTAGAATTACTCCGGCGGCGAATGCTTTCACGAACATGAAGAAATTGCTCTCTGACTTGAGACCGAAGATAGGTAAACAGACTCCGAATACTCCGGCGATTAAGATGGAGAAGAGAGCTCCGATCTTGTAATTAAGAGTCGTCGCCTTCTCCGCAGCAGAAACTCTTCCATTAGAGCCACCGCATTTGTCTTCTTCCTTTGCGGATGAGACTATAAGAGGTAGAATAGCCAAGTAGAGAAGGCAAGCTGAAATTAGGGTTTTTTTTAATCTACCCATTTTTTTGGCTTTTGACGAAAGTTAGGGCTTTTCTTTTCTTCCTTTGTATCTCTGTAACAGTGAACAACTCACGCTGCTTATATATAAAACATTTTTGGTTACAGAGGTTTTTGGATGTGTGAATTCTTTAGGAGATAATAATGTCGACATGAACGGTAATAATGTTGTTTTTACTAGTTATTATGGAATTTGTATTGAGATTAGAAGGTGTGGTTTTTCGGAGATGGCGACATATGTGTGTAATATTTAGTCTATGTGTAGTAATTAGTTTCTCGTAAAAAAGGGAAAAGAAAGATTGACTAGAATTTAAGTTAGAGATTATTCTGGAAGTCTTCTTATATAAAAGCAGCAAGTAAATCGAACTCTCTTCTTTTTTTGCTCTAAGAAATATTTTGGGTTGCATTTAAAATGATTAAATATTACATGTTTTTTGCAAGCAAGTTTGAGTAATTATGGCAAATTGTTATGATCTCCAAATTCATATTTAAACATTAGTAAGATTTGTTTGGACTGACTTGGTTGCTCGAGAGTAGTCGACTTTCGTTTACGAGTTTGCAAACGAGGATTCGGCTAGAGGAAAAGAGACCAATATTTTTTTTCTTTTTTTCTCAAAAAATAAAAATACAGTGGAGATGCGGGGGATCGAACCCCGTGCCTCTCGCATGCAAAGCGAGCGCTCTACCATTTGAGCTACATCCCCAACTATGGAAGAGACTAACGTTTTATTATAGCATAACTTAATTCCTTTTACATTTTTTTACCCTGATTTTGTGAAATTGCTTACTACAAGATCATTGACTTTTTGTTTTCTAACTTGGCGTTCCGTTATTGCACTAATCAGCGACTTTTCGTCAATTTAAAGCCAGGAAGTTATCACTAATCACCATTTACTCCTAAAACGTTTCTAAATAAGTCCTCAAAACCTGAACAAGCAAGCAAATCACGGTATGCTCTGTTTCTATAAAATCTCTGTATTAATTTTGGAATCCTTTAGTATATATATACATACAGACATACTTACATAGGAAAAAAGTATGCTTCATACAAAAGTTAAAATGAAAAAAAAAAAAACATTTTTTTTGATATATCTTACGATTTTCTGGTGAAGTAAAAAGGTGCGATCCTGAGGACAAGGCCCGGGAAGACATCATCCGGGTCATGGATATGCGGGTTTCGCTCGACGATAAACGGGTCACCGCACTTGTCGCCGATGGTGTTAAGCGTCTCTCCTTCTCCGACGACGTAAATCTCCTCGCAAGGTTTCTCTGAGAATTGAGACCCTCTTACCGAGTCAGAAGCGTTGTTTTCACGAACCGATAACAAAAGTATCAAAGACAACAACACCACAGCAGAACACCAAGCACTCATGTCTGAAGATGCTGTTCTTGAACCTCTCATGGGTTTGAAGTTATAAAAAAACTCTTCGAATTTCTCTCTCTTTTTAGAATGGATGAATAATAAATATAAACTGACATCCGCTCGAGTGGTTATATATTGGTGGGAGAGGTGAGGGTGTTTTCGTCTTTTTGTTTAGGGGTTCTGTGATGTGTGTTGTGTTGGTTGGGTTAGAGAGAATTGGTCTCTCACGGTGCAGGTCAACGGTCGTGACTCACTAAAGCAGGTTTTACTTTTTAGCCACTTTTGTTAACGATTCCTCTGAGTCGTATTATACTTGTCACTGGATTTATTATGAGTTTGTTTTGTTTTGTTTTGTTTTCATTTTTAATTCGAATTTGTTTCTATATTGATTATAATATATTTACATATCAGTCAAGACTTTAGGTGAAAAATATTGGATAGAAATGCAATGTTATTGTTGTAGGTGGCATTTTATACTTATATGTTAACAGATTGTGTGACGTGTATGGTGTAACAGCTAATTTTCTCAGAATATAGGAAAACTGAAAATATAGATTTTGGATTTTTTTTTTTATAATAAGGAATGATATCTGATGGCAATAGCAAATCTTATTTCCTTTTAATATGCTTAAAAGTTATCAGCCAAAAAAAAAGAGAAAATTAAAAATATTAAAAATTAGTTCACCTAAATGGATATTAAAAATCATAAGTAAAATAATTAGAAGTGCATGAACATAGTAAACGGTGAAGACAAGAACTTCACTGGAGTAAAGTTTTTGTAATTCTTTTAACTTCTCTTCTTCTTTTTCTACAAGAATCAGCAAAACAAAAGATGTTTAATAATTGAAGTGTAAATTCCTGAGTAGAACATAGTTAAAATTTTCAAAAACCGTATATCATACGTGATTAGAATCGTTTATTACTAATTATATTCTATACGTATGGTATTATTGGATATATTTGGTAAAAATGAAAGAAAGTTAGAAAATAGGATATCGTATTAGCGAAGACAAATGGAGAATTGGGTTAAAAAGAAACGTAGCCTTCGGCCTTCCAAAGTAGCCACCATTTAAAGTCACGTAAGTTATTTTAGTTCTACAAAAGCCAACGTTCCAACTACCTTTATGATTACTTAATTAACCTCAGATATTATGTACGACTTTCGAATTTCTCAAATTACAAAGTACTCTATTCATATTAAAAAAGTGGTTCATCATGAGTACGTGTCATCGATTTTTTGTTCTTTTGTCCACTTGTTTACGATTCTGGATAAAAACTATCGAACCAATCGTCATCGTATCGGTTGTCCTGTCGTGTAAAATATATGATTATTAGGAAATCATATTATTGATCGGAATTGTTCAAAACTCTATTTCGTTCTGTATATAAAATTTAATTTAATTTTTTTCATGAATCATTGAAGACGGGAGAGGCAACACAAGGAACCTACCATACGTTTTGCTAAGTTTGAAAAAAAAAAAGAATTAAGAAGATGTAATTCTCCTATATGTGTCGCATCTTATTGAATTTCCATGTAGTTATCAAAGTCTCTTAGTCCTAATCTCGATCCTTTCAGCAATAACGTAAGAAGTACGTTGTGAAAACCTAACAACATAAAAGTGAAAAAGAAACATCTAGCCAAATATACACATAGCAGATGGTGGATCTTATTCATCTTACTGTAGATAACCGAACAATTTATGAATGATATGATAGTTGACAAAAAAAGAAATGTGATAGGGATATATCGTGTTGATGTACAATTGGATTGGGAAATATGGTGTTAGCGAAGGGATGGTCGAGATTAGATAACATTGACGATGCAAAATGGGAATCTTTATCGTTAATGGCGTGCGGAAAAATATGAGTAATCGATAGGAGCGAGGACCAACAGGCTAAAATGGAATTTGACAAAGTCAGATCGGTCCACATTCTACAAAAGCATTCCCAATTCTATAGGTTTATAATTTTCCACAACGGCCGAAAGTCTTACTTCTTATTATATAAGAATCATCCGTTAAGTGTTTCCTATGCACATATTTGCGCACGAAACGTTCTTAAAGTATCAATAATTAATTGGAAATATTTTTGTTGTTGAATGGTTGTGGCCCTTTTTAAAGAGTTTTTTTTTTAAATATTTTTCTCCCTATTTTGAGCCGTAGAATTTTCTATACAGTTTGATTTATACGAGTCAATTACTTTGTTAACCGAAACGGACTTCGTGGGCTAGATAACCCGGCCGTGTGTGATTTTAGTATCTAAGGCTAGATTTTAGTAATTTGAATATGGTTACTTTGATTGGTAGATTTACACATGTTTCTTATGGAATCATTAGGAATTATATCTTTATTGTGTTAGTATGTCTAAAGGATAATTGGGTGTATTGTGTATAAATTTGAGTGGATGTTGGATAGTGGAGAGAGACTCTCTTTGGAAACATGTTTTGCATGACCGAGTGAAAAGGCTTTTTGGCCAAGTCCTCCGTTGGTGTGTCAAGGTGTTTGTGGCGCAAACGCAAATGTTATACTAGTCAACAATTTAATATCACATATTTGATTTTCAATCCCTTTTTATTATACAAATATCCAAATTGACTTTCTGAATTATCCATACAACCAATTTCCAGCTAATAGTGGTTAGTCTTAGACTCTTAGTTAGTTACAAAGCTCAACTGTATTTCCACTTGTGATAAGTTTCTATTTGTATACCCAACTAACCACGACGGCACGACCCATGAATTAAATTAGTAGAAATGATTACAGTGTGCATAATACAATCAACACCAACATGAACCAGAAATGAAATTAAACCGAAAACAAAACTTCCGGTTATGGACTTCATTGATAGATTGAGCCCAAAACTGAATGAAATGAAGTAGCCTCTTCCTTAGGCCCATGTACATTTTTCTTTAGGCCCATTATTTGATATATTGCTTTCCTAGAAATGTACAATTGCCAGGTGAAGAATGAACATCAGAAAGGAGAAAGCAGCCACACAAAACTGTGACGATAAGATTTATGATTTCTTCAATTGGTCTCTCCTTAATCAAATTGATTCATTCATAAATTTTGTGAAAAAAAAAAACTAAATACCGAGAGACATGGTTTCAATAAAAGTAATCCCATCAACAACAATCTTCAAATCCCCAAATAGATACATTTTAAACCACAAACCCCCAAACCAAATCAGACTAATTTCAAACTCACTAAGCCCTGAGCCCAACACAACACAGCTTCCCAATAATAATCTCTACAGTGTCAGTTTCAAGACTATTGGAACAGGTAAGCTTGGCATCTCCAGATACCCCGATTTCGAATATTCTCCTCGAGGTGGCTCCGGCGCCGGAACCGCCCGGAAAATCGACGGCGACGAAAACAGAGCTTCACAAAAATCCGAATTGTCTGCTTGTTTCGATGTGGGCACTCTGTATATCCCTCCTCTGACCAGCCAAACCACCAAATTTCTCGGCTTTCCATTGCCGCCGTTTCTCAAAATCGATATATCTCCGGAGGTTTTCGAAGGAACTATCGACCCAGAATCCGGGAAGGTAAACAGAATTTCATGGTGTGATTATAAAGATCCTCTGTTTTTTGTTCGGTTTATACGAAATTAGTTTGATTAATTAAAAGGTGGAATTGGAGTTCACGGCGAAGTTCTGTTTCACGGCGGGAGGAGGGCTGTACAGAGCTCCGGCGCTGGTGGTGAAAACGGTTTTGACGACGGAGGAATCGATAGGAGAGAGAAAGAGAGGGAGAGGAGAGAGAATGGACGGGGGAGGAAAGTGTAGGCTCGTCGGCGTCGCGAAAGTGGAGACTGTCGACGATTGGTTTATGAACACGTTCCTTTCTCTCCCGGCGGAGTGTCTCGCCGATCTACAAGCTGTAATCTCAGTCTCCGATAATCAATCTTGACGATAAAGCATGTTTTGAGTTTTCGACCAGAAGTAAAAAAATGATTAAGACGTTTATCGTTTTTTAACTGAATGGTTTAAGTTTAACGAGAAGGTGTGACTGTGGAAGATTTTAGTAAATAAAGATTGATGTGTGGCGTTAAAGAAAATAAGGAAAATTTATGGGGGTGAAGAGCCCTGGGCATTACGGGTTTTGGGACGGAAATTGACGGGTTCGGGACGGGAATAGGAAATTCGGGAAACCAAATTTGATTCCCGAAGCATTCTCTTATTATAACGGGAAGGGAAATCACGGGAATGGGAAGGGAATGGGAAATTTGGGAATCAAAATATAATACCCGAAGTCTTAATAAATTGGGAAAATTGAAGATAATATGGGAAATTACGGGAAAATATGGGAAAATACGGAAAATTATGGGAAAATTTGGGAAATTATAGGAAAAATTGGGATATTTAAGAAGAAATGTCTAATTTTCAAATTTTTATTTTTTTAAACGGGAAAATCGGGAAATCCCTTCCCCTTCCCGAACCCTTCCCTTACCCGTTTGAATAAAATAAATGTTTCCAAACGGGAAATTGCAAATTCTCATTCTCGAAAAGTTTGGGAAATTTTAAACGGGTAAGGGTGGGAACGGAATTCCAGTCCTGAAATGCCCAGGGCTAGGGTGAACATATAAAAACAAAATTACAGCTTGAAGAAGTAAATGTGAATTTGACACATCATCACACATTTGTTTGTGCTGTGAAAATGTGATTAGCAAAACTATATTTTAATGATTTGTAACCGCCCTTGCAATTGATGATATTTTTAAGTGGAAACTGATTGAATACTGAGGCGCTAGCTGTCATTATAAAATCTAGAAATATTTGAGGTATATAGAAATTTTAAAGTAGAATTTTTGTAGTTTTTAAGAAATAAAATGAAAAAAACTTTCTGTATATAGAAACTAATATTTTTTATGGTTTTAATAAAGGAAATGAGTGTTAAGGGTAATATGTGGATGCCCATTAGCCCACTAGGTCCACTTCTCTATTTGTCTCTTCTCCTTTTAAACCCTATGTTGTACTCTATATAAAGAGCTCTCTACTCATGAATAAGACAATTTCATTCTCTCTTTCACAACACGTTATCAGCACGAGTCTCTACCTCTTAACTTTCTATTCTCTCTAAATCAAAGGTTCTAAAAGTTCTAATAGTTCTTATGGTGAATTCACAAATTCAATGAGTAATCTCTATTACTTTGTTAATTTGTGTTTATTCTACTAAAATCTATTTCTATCAATACTTAATTTATATTACTTATTGATAATATCTTGGATTCAGCAAACTGAAGGATCTATATATTATTTTTCCTTGAAGGAATTATATATTTCAATTATATACATCCCTGAAGGATTTGTATTTTTATTTATATCCCTGAAGGATTTATATTTTATTTCTATTTTTATTTATATCCCTGAAGGATTTCTATTTTATTTATATCCTTGAAGGATTTATATTTTATTTCTATTTTTATTTATATCCTAGAAGGATTTATATTTCACTATATCCCAGAAGAAATAATTTATATTATATATTTATTTATAGATCCCATATGGATTTATATAATTTATTTATATTTCCAGAAGAATTTATATATTTTTATTTATATATCCTAATAGGATTTATATTTTCTGTTATCCTAGAAGGATTTAATTTTTATTTTTTATCCAAGAAGGATAAATATATTTCAACTAAATATCCCAGCAGGATTTATAAATTTTATTGATATTATTTATCCCAGAAGGATTTTATATTGTCTATTATTTTATTTTCATTTATATATATTGTTCTTATTTATTTTTTTGCTTTTCAATATTTGTTATTTTAATTGATTTTCGTAATTAATTAATTGCTAAATTGAATAATTATTGAAAATTGAAGAAATCTGAATTAATTTGCATTGTTTGCATTAATTTGAAATATTATTACATTCTTGACCATATTAATTTTTAAGTTGACCTGTTGACCACATGAATTTATAATTGAATATAAGTGCTAAAATCACTCTGGAATATATATTTTTAATATTATTATTTAATGATTGTTGACTGCTTTGTTAAAATGAATCTTAATCAGTTTTATTAAAATATTATTGTTTGATTTTGCACTATAACTTCGTATATTGCTTATTACTGATTTTGAGATTGTTTATTATTGCTAAATCATCATTTGATCATTGCTAATAATAATATATATTATATTATTGCATATCTTGATTTAATATTATAAATAAATGTATAATTATTCCCTTGATTTGTTTTATTTATTGGTTTGATTTGGTTTAACAAATCAATTATTACTATTATATACTAATAAGTGTATTTCTCTATCATTACATGATTTTAAAATGTAATAATTTTACCATTGAGTAAAAAGAAAGGCATGATCACTAGAAGTGATCTAATATAGCAATCTAAAGAAAATGAACAATCATCTGAAGTGATATGATCTGATAGAGCATCTCAGACCATATAAACTTGAAGTTTATAAGTGAAAATATATTACTAATAAAAATGTATAAGAAGAAATTATGAAAATATTGTTGTCCTGCAGATACAATAGCATAAATATATTTAAGGAATATTTTAAAAATATTGTTGTCCAGTAGACACAATAGCAAATAAATTCTTAAAATTAAATTTGTCACTTGAAGTGATAATAAAAAGGTAATGTTATTTATATTAATTAATTTTATTATTATTATATTTGTTTATATATATGTTTGATAATATTTATTTATTTTTCAATTATCCTCTATATGAATATTTTGTATTTGCATTTAAGATTACAAGACTTGAAGTCTATAAATGATTTTTATTTATCTGGAAGATAATGTAAATCAATGATGATAAAAGGCATATATTGTCCAGCTGACAAAATATTATTGAAGAAAGTTTAAGAAATTATTTTGATAAAATAATGAGTTACTAATGAAAATCTTGAATCTTGTCTAATTGGTTTTGATCCATTCCCTGAAGTGAATGTGATATGAATGATTAAAGATATGATCATAGACATGAATATGAATCTTTTATAGTTCATGTTAAGGTCAAAACTAAAGAGTTTTATTTCAAGAACTCAAATTCTCATAAGAAGTGAGAAAATAAAGATGGCAGCAAATAAAAGATACACATCTCCAGAAGAGTATATATAAATTTATATTTGCTTATAGTAAATAATTTTTTTGATGCATTATATCTTTGAAATCCCAGAAGTGAAAAGAATCAAACACATAATAGAAATAAAAAAGTTTAAAGAATCAAAGATATAAAACATGATTCAAGTTGGATATATTATTGATGTTATACTAGGATTCCATTCGAGATTGATGAACATGAAGTGACATCATCTCGAGGGGGAGAATGGATGAATCCCTCAATCACTAGAAAGTGGAACATCTAGAAGATTATGTTCACACTAAAAATAATCCTGATGAATCATATATAATGTAACTCAATGGTGTAAAATTATTTTGAAAAAATAACATACATTATCTAATGCCTCATCATAGACAAAGATTAAATAGGAGATGTAAATGTTATGTAGTAAACTAGAAGTTTACCAAATATAACATAGTTTGGCATGAGCTGGTTAGACCATTTCGGTTCAAGAATTATGCAAAATAAAATACATCATGTAAAGATTTATTGAAGAACTTGAAGATTCTTCTTAATTATCTATAATGTGATGTTTAATCATAAGACATTATGATTATACAATTACCAACTAGCCAAAATAATTTGGAATGTATACAATTTGTAGAAAGAATATAAGAAACTTTTGTGGTCTAATAAACCATTATATGGACTGATCATCCAGTAAGAGAAATGTTATGGTGTTTCTTAAATATATCAACAAGTGTTATGTATCAATATTACATATCTGCAACCTGAAGTTTGCGAGATTACTTGGTAGTGCTAGTGAAATCACATCTTAAATCTTTGTTGAGAAAAACATGTTTGTAAGAATAAATGTTGAACATCCAGTAGCAAATGTTCATCATTACACATAATGCAAAAGCATTAATTCGCATAAAGCCAATGAATAACTAAAATTTCTCCCCATCGTAATTGGTTTAGGTCAGAAACCAAAGTTTTCCATCTAAAGATCTATGGATGTGCAGAATACATTCATAACGCTCCACCACAACAATATAAGATGGACCCTCGAAAGAGATAGTAAATGTATGTTGGATGTTAATCTCCTATGATAATATTTAGAGCTATCCATGAAGGATTTAAATATAGCTCAATTTGTAGACTGTCATTTTAGTGATTCAGTCTTTCCAACATCAGGGGGAGAAAATAAAACAGCTGGAGAAAGATTAAAGTTAAAATGAATTATCATTGATCCTCAGACGATAGTATGTGAAATAAAAGTCTAAAAGGTAATTCATTCACAAAACTTACTGTATCAATTGCCAGATACAATTACTGACCCAAATATAGTGTTGAGTCACTTACCAGCTGTAAATGCTCTAAGAATAATTGATTTCCCAGAAGGACAATATCAAACTGCTAGTAAGTCTAAAGAGCGCATGAAGTGTGATAGACTTCTTGGTTTCAAATATTAGTGACCTCGGTAAAGTAAAATGAGCATAAATTGACAATGGTTAAACCGAGGAAACAAATGTTTTTGAAATGATCTCAAGAAGAGATATTAAACATGACAAGAAAGAAATTCAGGTACCTGAGACAAAGAAGAGATCTCGAGAATTAATTATGTCATGTATGGAATAAAATGGAACCATAAAAGCAAATCGACGTCGTAAATAAAATATTTGCATGCATTATAGCAGTTGATGTTATGAATGAGAAAGAGGATCATGAAACAAAGTCTATTGCATTGTGTACACAAAGTAATGATTTGGCCAAATCGAAAAGAAGCAATAGACATAAAACTAAAATCTCTTAGAAAGAGAAATGTATTTGGACCAGAAGTCCTTACACCTTAAAAAGTGTAAAACAAGTGGGTTATAATAGGCATGTGGTGGATGCAACTTTCAAGTTCATTAAGTGTGGCAATGAAAGAAGAACTTTGACACTTTTATAAAAGTCCCTGAAGGATATAATTCCTGAAGAATTAATGATATCAAAACTATGAAGAACTCTAATTATTTGATCAAATGAAGAGAAATATCTCTCAGTGGGGTACAATCACAAAAGTGATATATATACATACATATATAATCAGTACCCACTGTATATTTATAAAAATATTAAGGTTGGATCAAAAGAGATCTTAATCTAAACATTATCGAAATTCTTGAAGAATTGTCGAAATTAGATAAAAGATATTGGAAAGACAAATTTGTCTTAAGATATCTCATATTCACAGTTTAACAAAAGATATATTATCTCAAAAGATCCTTGTAAGATTTGCATTAAAAATGCTCACATTTGGTCTTGAAGTACCACACTTTAAATTATATTTGAAAATGTGTTGGTCTTTTCATAACTGAAAGATGAGAACAAAATGAGCATAAGATAACTCATATATACAAGATAGACATTTACAAGAATGTATAAAGAGAAAGTTTGGCCAGAAGTCCAAATATAACAAGAAATGATTGTTTATAGAAAAAGATGTCATATACTAGAAGTTCAAATGACTTTCATTGAGGTTATACTTATAGCAATCTCCAAAAGATGATATTATTATTGGAATGCATCTCTTGAAGAAGATGCTTCCAAAGGGGAGATATAAGATGATATGTGTGGTTGTACTCTTTTTCCTTATTGTGGTTTTTATCCCATTGGGTTTTTCCATGAAAGGTTTTAATGAGGCAACAAAGAACACACAAATGAGAAACATTTAAAAGAAGTCTAAAGATGAAAGTATATCTACTTTTGAAAGTCTTGTCATCCATTTATGATATCAAGTGAAACAAAGAAATGATCAAGATGAATCATCAACTACTTCCATGCACTACGAAGAATGGCGATATCAAATTCTAAGATTGTTCAAGAGAAGATTTTCCAAGATTCTTCATCAAGGAGTTTGCTGTTTTCAAGAAACTAATTCGTGATATTGGATGGAATCATCTCAAAGATTTAGACGGATGTTCTCATGAGGGGGAGTAATGACGCTGCACTCTTTTTCCTTAGCTAAAGTTTTTTCCTTGGGTTTTCCTAGTAAAGGTTTTAACGAGGCAGCAATTTATGCATTTAGAAGATATTTTAGATAATGGACATCCAAGGGGGAGTGTTATGGGTAATATGTGGATGCCCATTAGCCCACTAGGTCCACTTCTCTATTTGTCTCTTCTCCTTTTAAACCCTATGTTGTACTCTATATAAAGAGCTCCTCTACTCATGAATAAGACAATTCCATTCTCTCATTTCACAACAATGAGATATTTATCAAGATAGAAAAACTCAAGTATATAGAAAGAAAAAACAGACATTTTGTAGTTTTTAGGAAAGAAAATGAAACGCCTATCAAGATTAAAAAGATTGAAGTATACAGAAATGTTTTTTACATTTTGTAGTTTTTTTTATTAAAAATGAAAATTCAAGCTTTCTAAACAGAAGTAACTTAAAGTTTAACATGCCATTATAATATTGTGATAAAATTACTGAATTCCAAATTTCCGCTTATTTTTTCCGTTTTTATTTTTTTAACAAATATTGTTTTTCATATTACAGAAAATGATCATCACCACCTAGCTTTCTTGCTTCACAATTTTCCTTTAAGCTTCCAATTACTTTGGCGTGTTTTATGCACGCAAAGGATTTATATAAGAAAAACTCATATAAAGTAGATACGAGTTTTGGAAAATGGAATAAAATCTTCCTCGTACTCATAAACCTGGCAAAAAAAACTAGTTACCAGTTACCACGTGTAACATAATATCATGTTTGATCTTCTACCACTACGTTACAGAAAATATTTATTTTCTTCCGTGATAATATAGTACAGTACTAACCAATAACAACGATAATGATTATATTTGTGTGTTGTTGTTGTACTTGCATCACAACTTGAGATAGTTGGTTGATTGATCGGAACTTCAAATCTAAAAAACCTCTGTTTTGTTTTGACTTTTTATCCATTGTTTATTTGGGCAGGAGACTGGTATGTAGTAGTAGTGTTTAAGACTTAGGACAAATTAATTAACAAATTAAAAGGAAATGTCTTCCTCCCAAAATTTCGGGGACCAATATTTAATCACACGCGCAGAACTTGAACGTGAGGCTATGAAAACATCGTGCTGTCATGTATTCTCCCAAAGCACGTACTGTATTACTTTATTTTGATATGTTTCTCTGTTCCGAATCAAATTTGAAAATTCATATACTAGTTTATAGGATTTGTAGACAAATCGAATATTATCATCATTTTAAAATGTGTTTATGGGAGAGTTTTCCTAAGGAACAGAGTTTCTATTAAAATATGATTCCCGTTGTTAATAATCCAAGTTCAAAAAATGAATTGTCTTGTGCACACAAGAAAAGAATGATTTGTCTTTCTTGATTGAATATATAAATAGATGAAAAAGAAGAAAATGGCAAACTAAAACTCTAATTATTTAAAAATTCGCGCCTGGAAGATTATATTAATAAAACAGAGCGTCACTACTAAAAATAAACATTTGAAGAAAAAAATGGTGAGGATCGACGTCTGTGATATTTCTATCTTTTACAACACTCCACGCGTCGCTCTCTCTTTCGCCACGCGCTTCTCCTTCCTCCTTCACGCTCACGGGATTTCTCTCTTTCCTCTTCCTCTCTCTCTCTCTCTCTCTCTTCTTTGCCGCAGCGAGATCTCCTCTCTCTCTCTCTCTCTCTCTCTCTCTATGCATCCACCTGTCTCCGCGATTTGATGGACAAGAAGAAGCTGCCACACCGAAACTTATTCAATTCCTCCGATCATCCACCGACTAAACCCACCTTCTAGAAAATCTCTACCCAAAAAACTCTTCCTTTTTCTTCCGTTACTTATCGTTTTTCATTTCTCTTCTCTCTCTCTCTCTCTCTGTCTCTCTCTCTGTCTGTTTGGTAATCGGATGGCGCGAAATCTGCGATGGGCTCTGCTTATTGTTGCTGTCTCAAGTCTTGTCTGGACACTGGAAGCGAGTGAAGGAGATGCTGATCCTCGTTACAAGTAAGTCTACCGCTTCTTTCTGGTGTTCTTAGATCGATTTGCATATTCTTGATTCTTCTCTCTGCTTTGATATCTGAAAATCGTTTGTCAAGTTTAAAAAAAAAAAAAAACTTTCCTTTTTAAGTTAGCTCTTGTTGATCAGTAAATGTGAGAGTCGACCGTTAGATTCACTGATTGTACAACTCGGTGGTGAAATTCTGTGTGTTATACAATATACAATAAACTACAGCTGAATGAATAATCCTCTCTCTGTTTTTTCTATTGTGGAATTTGATCCATTTTAGGAAAAGAAAAAATTTGAGATTTTTTTCCTGGTTAGGTGTGGATGATTTTCAAAGTGTTTGGTGGAAATGAAAAAAAAAAAAAACTTAAGCCACAGAAAAAGGAGTGATAACAAGGTGGTGGGGAAGCTTAGAAGTTTGTATGTGGTTGACTTTTCCCAAAATTAAAATCTTTGCAAGAACTTGTGGTGAGAGTTGGGAATACGTTAAGAGATGAATCTTTTGTGTGTGTTTGTTGTACACAACACAAGCCTTTTGGTTTGGTTTGTAACTGTAGGGTCATTTGTTTTTGTTGTAAAGATTGTAAAGGCAGAGAAACTAGATAGGGACTTGAGGGGATGCAACAAGTGGTACTGTGAGAAGTCTTTTTGGTGTTTCCTTTTGTGTTTTTGAGTGGAAAAATGAACAACGACTAGTACTTGTTACCATGTTGTACTGTCTAAGACCACTCTGTTTGCAATCAAATAGCTTTATCCTTCTGGTTTTTGCTCAGTTTTTAAGAGTGTTGATTTGTTTTCTCAGGTCATGTGTTGATCAATGCCAGAAAACAGGATGCGTGGGGGATAACTGCTTCCAGCACTGTAAATTCTCAGCTGATGGAAAAGCCATCGACGGTCCATGGTACATGCAAGAGCCGCTTTACCTGAGATGGAAACAATGGGACTGCCAAAGCGATTGCCAGTACGAATGCATGATGGCAAGAGAAGAAGAACGCAAGACAAACGGAGAGAGACCTACCAAGTACTTCGGCAAATGGCCGCTCAAACATGTCTATGGCATTCAGGTAAACCTCTCTCAGCTTTTTCCAAGAAACAAAAATAAGCAAATGGTGTGCTCAAAAGAATTTTTGTTTATATATATATATTTTCAGGAACCTGTCTCTGTTGCTTTCTCTGCACTCGACCTTGCAATACAGTTCCATGGATGGGTCTCCTACTTCATCCTCGTCTACTACAACTTACCTCTCCAGCCGAACCGGAAAACTTACTACGAGTACAACGGGTTGTTGCATATATACGCCGTGATCGTGATGAATGCACTCTTCTGGAGTGGTGTCTGTCACAGCAGGTAACATTCATCTATCTATCTATCTCCATTGTCAAAAAAAGCTTATCTAAACTCTCGGATGTTTCTCATTGCAGAGATGTTGAATTGACAGAGAGACTAGACTACTCCTCAGCTACAGTATTAGCCGGATTCTCGCTTATCTTGGCAATATTCCGGTCATTCAGTATTCAAGATCAATCTGCCAAGATCATGGTTACTGCACCTATTCTTGCTGTTGTAGCTACTCATATTCTCTACCTCAACTTCTACCACCTCGACGAAGGTATGGCTATGAATGGATATATATACTTAAAGATAATGCGGTTTTCTTGTTTAAATGAAGCTATTGTCTTCTCATGTACAGGGCTTCACAGGAAAGTTCTGTTCGGAATAGGAGGAGTAGAGCTAGTTGTGTGGGGTTTATGGGCGGCTTTGACGTCGCATCCATCGAAGTGGAAGCTAAGAGCTTTCTTCGTCGCGAGCATACTCACGATGTGTCTTCGAATGCTTGATTTCCCTCCATACAAAGGCTATGTTGATGCTCATGCTCTTTGGCGAGCTGCAGGGATACCTCTGTCTTACCTTTGGTGGAGTTTTGTTCGTGACGACGCCGTTTTCAGAACCACCGTTCTTCTCAAGAAAGCTAAGTGATGTGAAAATGATTCGAAACTCTTTACATTTTCTCTCTTTTTCGTCTTCTTTTTTTTTTCCGGTGAGTTTTCTCCGGTGTTCAGAAAGTTGTTCTTTAGATGTGTTTTCGCAGAAGAAGAAGCAATGTTTTCTTCTTCTGTGGTGAATCTTGTTAGCGTTTTCGGGTCTTCCTCTCTCTCTCTCTCTTTACTGTGTTTGTTGTTTTTTTTTTCTCTCGAGGCTTGTCGGCCGGAGAGTTTTGCCGTCGGGAGGAGTCGACCTTTTAGGATTCATCAGTTTGTTGCTTTTCTTCATTTTACAATGACTTATAAAAAATCCTTTTTTGTTTCTTTTCATTTTTATCAATGTAAAAAAAATGTTATATTTATCTGTTTGTTTTCAGTTTACTTCGTTTTGATGAATAGATTAAGGAGGTGTTATTCTTAACAGTGTTACAACTTAGTTAACTAGTTAAAGCTTAAAGGCAAAAGGTTTTGTTAAATGAAAGTTCAGTTCTATTGGATAACCAACAAAGACAAAACAAACCACGAAATCTAAAAATCAACTAGACCTAATGGAGTATTTGTTTAGCAAATCTGACAAAGATGTAAGATTTGGGCTAGATTCTGATTATAAATTTGCACAAATTACTTTCAAGTAGTGGTATAATTTTTTTCAGATATTGTTTTTTTTACTGGGCTTTTACATACAGTTTCGGTTCAATTTGACCTGGTTTATGTGAATCAGAGACTCTTGTTTTTTTGCCAACTGTAACTTCTCTTTTTTTCTTAGTCTCATTCCTCTTTTTTTTTACCTGGTTTTGAAAGGTGTGTGCAAGTGCCACTAGAGAAGAAGATTGATGAAGAATTTGGAAATTTGCCTGTTATTGGTAAGTTTTTTTTCCTATTATTGACAAGTTAATTTCCCTTTATTTCTGTCAACAAGTTATTCAAATGTTTTCTTTATAAATTAATATGATATTATTGTGACAAAAATCTTTTAATTTATAAATTAAGGATTATTATATTATTGCATCCCTATGATAAAAATAAGAAGTGAGGAGAGCCATAGCAAATTAAGGATTAGTTATATATTATTTAATCTCCTCTAATACAATTTATTTATTTTCTTAATAAGAGGAGAAGTTATATTGGAGACAAAGAGAACATGGTAATTTTTGCTTGTGATAATGTATAACATATTTTAAAAATTAAACCGTGTTGCTGAAAATTAGTTGTATTTTATTTTTAGTAAATATATTTTTCTTTTTTTGTACAACATTTTCCGTAAAATAAACTCCATTTAAGAAATGAGAAACATTTTGTTTCCTATGTAAATCACAGCTAGTTTTTATAAAATGGAAACCAGCCAAACAAATTGAGAAAAAATATTAATCTTTTCTTTATATAACTTGTATACCTGTAAAAAAAAAACTACCTTGTATACACATTTTGTAAATGGTATACTACACCATATTACAGCTAAGAAATTGTATATTTGAGTTAACAAAAAAAGAAAGCTAATTGTATTTTAAATGGTAAAAACTACATTTTTTGCAAAGGATAAATGTCATAGAATATATAAACATAATGTGATAAGAACCTTGATGCAAAGAAAAGGTAATCACTCAAAGAAGAAGAGTGTGAGGTTAGTGTCGCAAAAAGAAGAAGATAACACTAGAAGTAAATTACTAATTGATATGCAAGATTCTTTGTTTATGCAGTATTAATCTATTTCTCTTACAGTCGTAACTGATGACTTCTCGATTTCGTATCTGTTTGCGTAGATTATTACAGTGATTTCAGCAGCTATGAGCAATCAAATTGAGCAAGGGACTTTATCCTCTGGAGCAACGTATTTGATGACAACACCTGTCGAACCAAATAATCTCAGCATCATATGGGATCAAGCTGTAAAATACATGCTGAAGAGTGGTAATTTCAATTGATTAATGAAGAAGCTGGTGTTAACAATATACAATAACAAATTTATGGTTTCTCCTTCTTGCAATTTTTTTTAAATTTATTCTAGATATGGTTTATGATTCTTAAATCGATACAGATAATTCAAAGGAAATCCAGGAGGAATATTCAACCAAAAATCTATATGATACAAAGACACATAAGATCATCTGGACGCCATCTCTTTATCATCTATTTCTTAAGGCTTTTCTACAGTTTGGCCATAGTAAGTATTTACTGTGTATCTAATCTTTTCACATGTTAGATTTTTTTTTTCACTATTAATTTTTTATAAAAAAAAATTATCATGAGAAAATAATATTTTTAATTGTATTTATAAATTCTATTTTAACTAGGTAGATACTCCCTCTGTCCCATAATATAAACAATTTTAACTTAAAATACAGAATTTAAGAAAATATTTTTCTTTAAAAAGCATCACTGATTAAAGATAATTCAACCAATTATAAAAATAACTGCAAATTGTAACTGGTTAAAACTTACAACTCTCGTTTTTTACTTTACTTTAATACAGTGTATATATATGTATATACTAATGTTCTATCTTCTTCTTCCTGTTTGATAAAATTTTGAAGAGGCTACGGCGAAGAGGATTTTCGAATACATGAGCGTGAAAAACCTTACAAGGTCACATGTAGCCAGCAAATTACAGGTTTGATCTTCTATCAACATTGTTTAAAGTCAGTATCATGTGTCTTTTAATCATATTTCAAAGCACTTAATCAATGCTAGTGTTAAACTAAAATAGCTTTATATCAAGAAAATAGTCATATTTGTCAAGTGTTTGGAGAGATTAATACACCGAGTTAACTTTTGTTTGCGTATAATAAAAGATATCGAAAATACACGATATACTTCAGCTTTCACTCTTTGACGAATTTTTTGGATAATATGTGCCATTAAAATAAATGATGATAGTATGATATTATGATTTAAAATTAATATTAGTGAAACCCTATCGGTCAAAATTTAATGAAGTAGTTTAAAGATGTGTATGTTACATATTTTCATTTTCATCTTACTTATATATAGAATATAAAATTAATATTGTTTAAATTGTTAAAACAATACAGAAGTTCAGACTTTTGGTGAAAAAGGTTAATGAAGAAGGGAGAAGAGAAATGAAGAAGCTTGAAGAAGAAGGGAGAAGACAAATGTCAAGAAGAGCTACGAACTCCGACTTTACATCATCTTCTCACATCAAACCACCACAGTCCAACAACAACAAGACAAGCCTAAGGAACAACAATCTTTCCGTATCACAATCTGGCTTTGGTCTTGGTCAATCCACCTATGATTTGAGTCCATCCGAATCCATCTTATCGTCTTCTGGTTTTTCGAAAGGTTTATCAACTTTAACGGAGGAGGAAAGAAGAAACATTTTTGAGATATCTCAAGAGTTTCAGACTCCTACATTTGGACAATATGGTACAACAAGTGATGTGTTGGGTACAAACTCTAATCTCAGTCCTGATATCCTAGGAAGTAATTACGCTGGGATCATAGCAAGTGCGAATGGAGATTTAACTGGACTTGATGGAATAAGAGTTAATTGTTATGGTTCTCGTGGTGGATTAGTCCATGATAGTAATTTCAATGGTTATGGTAATAGTTCTCTTGGTGGATTAGTCCATGACACTAGCAATGTCAATGGTTATAGTAATGACTCTGGATTAGTCCATGATACTAGTAATGCCAATGGTAATGGTAATGGCTATGGCTCTCTTGGTGGATTAGTCCATGATACTAGTAATGTCAATGGTTATGGTAATGGCTTTCTTGATAGAAGAAGAGTTCATGGTACTGATAATGAGAATGGAAATGGCCTTACTGATGGAATAAGAGAGTATGGTTTTAGTAATGGCAATGTTAACGACTCTCTTGATGGAACAAGAGTTCATGGTATAGATAATGGTAATGGATCTCTTGGTCAAAGTTTGGGTGGCAACAACTGGAATTTCAACAGCAACACGAGTTACCATGGAAGTTCAACTTCGAGGTTTCCTTCGGCATTGTCATCCTTCTTAGACGATTGGGATCAATCACATAACAACTTCATTGATGATGTGATTTATGCACAAGAAAACCCAAGCATATTAAATGATCACCATGGCGCCAACGGGATTGTTTGCGATACAACTAACTCGCAATTTGATCAGAATAAGGTACATTAACTAATAATTGCTATTAGCTTATATCTTTTTAAAAACCTATATGAAGTTAATTTTTTAGGTTATATATGCATGGTTTTTAACAGCATCAAGATAAAGTAATGGGTGAAAATCTTGGAGTGCCTATTGATCAGGATATTCTTAAAATGAATGCAATGCTTGCTGTTTATTCTCTTGAAGACATTGATAACTCCAGTTTTAATTATATAAGTCATGTTTATATATATGTGTGTGGATTCAGTTGAGATATTTTTGGATAAAATTTCTAAACTATACATATATATGTGTGTGGATTAAGTATTTGTTTAACCATACATAATCTATGATTTGTTTGAAGGGTGGCTGTATGGAAAACCCATTTAACGTTGATGCTGCTAATTCGCAAACGTATTTTTCTTCTCATGATATGAACATTACAAACCAGGTTAGTCTTGCTTTTATCATTTGAGAGATCTTTGTTTTCTTTGTACTCTACACCATTTTTACGTATAAATGTGTCTGCGAATTGACAGTTTATTAACCATATATATTATCTGTTTTTTTAAAGGGTTATTCTAATATTGCTAATTCGGAAATGTATTTTCCTCCTCAGAACATGAGCATTACAGATCAAGTAAGTCTCGTTTTCCTCATTGATATATCTTTGTTTATACCCTAGACCACTTTCATGAAATATATTATATATGGGATAATTTTTGTGTGTGTATATTTATATATATATATATGTCTGTATTTGTGGATTATAAAATCCTAAACTATACATAATCTATTGTTTGTTTGAAGGGTGACGATGATGAAGATTTATGGAATCTTATTGATGCTATTAATGATCCGAAAATGTATTTTCCTCCTTTGAACATTTCAAATCAGGTACGGATTCTATCTTAAAGAGATCTTTGTTTGGACCTTAGACCACTTTCAGGTTAAAGATATGTGTGTATATGTGCGGACTGAAAATTTATCAACCATACATGATTTGTGATTTGTTTGAAGGGCAACGATGATGAAGAACCATTGATTCCTACTAATCCAGATATGTATTTTCCTCCTCAAGACGTAAACATTACAAATCAGACAAGTCTAGTTTTTATCATTAAGAGATATTTGTTTGTATCTTATACCACTAACTTTTTTTGACAAATAATTGATATTTGAAACATTGATTACACAGGGCAATGGTGCTGCGGAATTGACGGAACCCCCATTGTCATTCCACCATGTAAGATCCATTTTAAAAAAAATAATTACCTTTTAAATTATGTATACAGTTAGAACCTGTATAAAAATGACTTTTTGATCATATATATTTGTTGAAATAGTGTTATGAAACGTTTTTTCTAATTTTTTATATTTAAATTAAGGTATATATATATAATTCCAAATACTATAGTGTCCTTTTATATAAAACAAATAGTCAAATACTATAGTAGTATAGTGTCATTGTTTTAATTTTTTGTAATTTTTTTGATATCAGTTGTTAGGCATATAATAAGTTATTCTCGTTGTTTTTTTCTTTACTAATTTTAATTTAGAAAATGTCACGTTTGAACTACATCGACCTAATTATGTATAATTTATTTAAGGTTTTGTGGTTATATGTTTTATATAGGATTCAAACGCTGAAGACGCCATGGATGACTATTTGCTCGATCATGAAATGATTTGAAAAGGTTATTCCAATTTTGCTTAAAACATTACATTAAGCAATTTTTTATAAGTTTGTTATGGTATTGTACTATTTTTTAAGATCACTATTCTTTTTTGTATGATTGCTTAAGACTCTTGGATGTTGTTTTAGTCATAATATTTAAATTTGGGATGTTACTTTATAAATTCAGATTATATGTTTCATTGGTTGTGGTCGTAGATGTATGCGAGTGTATTTTTATTTTGTTTTTTAGTCCATGGTTTCAGTAACCAGTATAGTAGACTGTTTTCTTCAGTTTAGTTTCGAAGAAAAAATTAACTGGTATTCTAGCTACTCCTATTTCATCGTTGAAACAAACTTTTTCATCAAATGACCCAAAAATATTGGTAATGTACTGTATATAACACACAATAAAAACTATATATAATGTGATAAGACAACCTAGAATAAAATAAAAAGACCAACCACAAACTGAGAGAACAATCAATACATATACTACACAATTTATTCACTAACAATATTATATTTGATACTGTATTTCGTGTATACAAAATTTATTTATAGTATATATTAGCTTAATCGAATAATTCCCATTTGGTTTCTGGATGAACCGGTTTAACCGAATCTGCCCGGGCTGCGGCGGTGAGATTAGAATCAAACGTTTCCCATCTCGTCGTTATGATCACCGGAAGACCTGACAAGGAGGCCGTACGTTTCCTCGACGCTTCCTCCTCAATTGTCACCAAATCTTGTTCCTCGTATTGCGGTTGTGCTTGATGTTTTGCTTGCGTTTGCATCGAGTTGTTGATCTTCAACACGTCGAGTGCCTCAACGTATTTCCGTAATCTTTCCTCCTTCCAACATTTTAAATATCGAATCATATAAAAAAAGCTTTATAGTATTTTGAAAACTAATTCACTAGCTTGAATAAAATATGATCTTGATCGATCGGTAATCAATAGGAGCCCATGCAAGTTAAGTACCTACCTGCATCGTCTTCTTCAGTAATATGCCTCCATCGACTGATATCGCATCGAGCTTCACCAACTGATTCATCAACATCTCCATCAAATTCTCCACGTTCTTCTCTTCAACTTTCCCTCCTTTACCAATCACTGTATCAAACGCCGACAACTAAAATCCAAAAAAAAGAAGAGAGAATATATTAATTTCAAATTACGAGACAAGAGAGTGTTGTGCCTCAGAATCTGAAAAAAAAAAAATCGGTTTTATTATGTTACTTGTCCGGCGAGTCTATCGACTTGGAAGCTAATGTCGGAGATTGCTTTAGTTGATTTCTCTTTGGCGGCGATTTTCCTCATCTCCAGGAAACGTTTCTCCTGAGAAATCTGATCTTCTTTGAGTATCAGTTTGGAACGATCTTTGACACCAGAAAGATCTAGAAACATCCTCGAATCTCTTTCTTTGTCTTTGTATAAAATCTTCATGTCTTGATGATGAACTCCTGTCTCACCAGACAACATCTTCTTCAGTTCCCCTGTTAATTGTCAAATTCAACAACAATCAAATTTTAAAAACAGAGCATATGATTGAAGATAATAAAATAAAAAAGATTTAATTCAGATTTTTTTTGTTACAATTTTATTTTTAGTGTATACCAAAAGTAGACTGAGAGTCGATACTGATCTCGTGATGGACCGACCCGTATTTGACACGGACCCGGATGACACGTGGCACGTTGGAGATATGGTCCGTTCGTCTCTGTACAACCATTCCTCCTGGTCGGAGCTCCCACTCACCGTCGCCTCCGCCGGAAGTAGCTGCGGTTGTTCCGATTCTCAACTTTAACATTTTTTTTGTTGTCTGGTAGAAATTTTTAAAACCAAAGAACTCAACAAATAAAGAAACAAGATGTTATAGAGAGAGAAGAGAGAACAGTGAAATGATGAGACGAATGTGATTTCTGAACACAATCAAGAAGAAGAATAAAGAAACGTCTGAGCAAAGGGATGTAAATATACTTTGTTTTTCATAATTTATGTTTCTATCTCTCTCTCTCTCTCTGCTGAGAGATATAAAAGCAGAAACTTTTTTTTTAATCTAAAAAAGAAAAAGAAATAAAGAAACGAGTGACAGCTAATATGATTGTTGTTATGTCTCGTTATCAGTCATCAGAGACACACATACATAAAACTGTTAATTGTATCCCCACATATTTATTTGGTGAAAAATAAACGAAATTCATGTCCCCACTTATATTTACTGTTCATATTTGTTCTGTGCAAGTCGTGTTATACATTTCTATGTACAGGTAATCTATTGAAGCAACTTAAACAGAAACTTTCTTTACACGTCATCGCTCGACTCCGACAAACTCTGCAGCCCTAAATCTCTCTTCCAGATCCACATTGTCTCGAACTTTCGTCGCAATGTTTTGTCCTCTCGCCAAGTTTTGACCGATCCATAAGGTTCATGGAAGATCAAGCACACGCGAGCTTTCTTCAACGGTATGACTCAACTTTCGAATCCGAACAAACTAGTTTCTTTCTTGGCTGCTTCAGACAGAGACACTGTTGGGGTTTGAGTGACCTCAAGACTATTCGAGAACACTGTTTATGGTATTTCTTAATGGGCTTACTTGTTAACAAATGCCCTTGTTGGGCTACGCCCATTAAAGAGATTTTGTAAGAGCCCATGTTTTGGCTTTCTCTTTGGTCATGTGATTGGATTGATTAACCATTAATTTGAGTTTTTTTTTTGTATTATCCTTGAGCTATTTATAGTTTGATACAGTTATTTTGGTTAAGTGTAAGGTTAGTGACACCAACCGAACAAATCTTGATTGTGAACTACATTATAGATACAATTCAGGGTCTTAGCTTCACAATTGGATCTTTAGCCGATGTTTCTGGGGGTTAAATTGTCAAAGTGAGTAATATTGGGGTCGATAAGTATAGAAAGCAAACAAAGTGGATATTTGTCGTAGCCCACTCATTTACAGCTGCAATCATTGGTACAAAAATGAAAAAAGGAAATTATGGATTTAATTTGGGTCAATGGCCAACACAATGTATTTGAAATCTACATGCGTCACATAGGATCCCACCTCTTAATCGGACGGTTCGTAACAAAACAACTTTTGTAGATCGTGTGGTCGTAACTCTGCCACGCAATCAAAAGATCAACAGGTTACGAATCGATCCAACGATACTCGTTTGCTTTCACTCAACACGTGCCGGTATTGACCAACGGGTAATAAAAAAGTACTCGCGACGGTCACCGGCTTGTCCAGTCAGTTTTGGTTCTGCGATTTCAACTTGAGTACATAACGCGGCCTCAAGAACCTGTTTCCAGCTCTCCTCTTTCTCTCTCTAGGATTTTCCTTTTACGCTTTCACATAATTCTCTCTCTCTTTCTCTTTTTTTTTTTTTTTTTATAGTAATTACAGCTTGAAATTTCGAGGCAATTTTTGAAAAAAATCTTCCTTTTTATAATTCTCTTCTCGATTCCGTTGGGTTTTAGTCTGGTGATTTAAGCTTGTTTGATCGAAGCTCCACTTCACAGCTCTTGGTATGTTGTATATGCCTTCTTCTGAATTTTTGTTTTTGTTTTTAAATATCTGTGATTTTTTTTTTCTGTTTCCTCTTCTCCATTGCTCTTAGTTTCTGATTCCTTTCTTTATGTGTTTTGTTTGGGGATTTGTGAGGTTAGTTTCTTTGCTAACTATGTAAATTAATGAGCTTTAAAATTAGGGTTTTAATTTCCTTCGAAATTCGTCTCTTTTGCTATTCTTAGTTCCTCAGTGATATGTGTTGGTATGTGTATGAAGTTTCGATTTGGGAATTTCAATTTCAGAGTTCGAGTTCCAATTTCTGATTTTCTCTCACTGTAGCAACCAGATTCGAGTGTACGTTTACATAGATTACAATGTTCTTGATCTGATTAATTCAATGAAAAATGTATTATGTTTGTAGATATCTGAAGTAAAAGGTGGGACATTTGTGTCGCATTTGGACCTACCATTGATGACTGGTGGTGGATTAACGCCATCGTCTTCAAACTCTGGGGTTTTCTTCCAAGGAGATGACGAATCTCAAGGCTTCATGAACAACTCTCACTTGACTTCCTCTTACGGGAACTCATCTACCTCCGTCCCTGGATGTGGACCTGGTGGTTACCACAGTCTCGGCGTGGTCTCTGCGGATATGCACAACCAGGCTATGATGAGCGTGTCGACTCCTGGTCCAAGCGCAGGAGCTAGCTCCATGGTGACTGATGCTAACTCGTCAGGGCTCTCTAATGGCGGTCCTCACTTGCAGCGCAGTGCTAGCATCAACAACGAGTCCTACATGCGTTTACCTGCTTCCCCAATGTCCTTCTCCTCCAACATCTCTGGCTCATCTGTTCTTGACGGGTCCACTGTTGTTCAGCGAGGAGGCTCAAGCGCTACGTCGCTGCCTAGTTCGCAGACTAACCAAATCCCTCTCTCGATGGGACGTCGTGCCGCTTCCGAGACTTTCTTTCAGGACCCGAACAGTTTAAGCCAAGCGAGGAAGAAGCCTCGGGTGGATACGAAGCAGGACGATGCTCTGCAGCAGCAGATTTTGCGTCAGTGGCTTCAGAGGCAGGATATGTTGCAGCAGCAGCAACAGAGCCAAAACCCACAGTTTCAGCTTTTGCTTCAGCAGCAAAAGCTGAGGCAGCAGCATCAGTATCTCCAGTCTCTCCCGCCGCTGCAGCGGGTTCAGCTGCAGCAGCAGCAACAGGTGCAGCAACAGCAACAGTTGCAGCAGCAGCACCAGCAACAGTTGCAGCAACAACAACAAGGAATGCAGATGCAACTAACCGGTGGTGGGCCACGGCCTTACGAGAACAGCGTCTGCGCTCGGAGATTGATGCAGTACCTATATCATCAGCGACAAAGGCCTTCTGTGAGTATTCATGTAGTCTCTCAGGAAACTTTTTTGCTCTCTGTGTAGAGAAAAAGGATATTGACAGAAACCAGTTGTGTTATTTACTGATTTTGTAGGAGAGCAGTATTGTTTATTGGAGGAAGTTTGTGACCGAGTATTTTTCTCCTCGTGCAAAGAAAAGATGGTGTCTCTCACATTATGATAATGTGGGGCATAGCGCTCTTGGTGTTTCTCCTCAGGCAGCCACGGTTTGTCTCCCCATCTCTTTCGTTATTCCGATTTGTGCTGCTTTGCACCCCAAAACCTGGATTAAACATATGATGTAAACCTACTTTTTTGGCTATTTGCAGGAGGAATGGCAGTGTGATCTTTGTGGTTCTAAATCGGGAAGAGGATTTGGTAAGTTACAGAGTTAGCAGCATTGTGCTTATCCCCTCTGATTAAGAAGTGGGAAATGTGAATAATGTTTATGGTAGCGAAACATCTTCTCTTAATATCTTTTTGTTTTTGTGAATTCTGCAGAAGCAACTTTTGATGTCTTGCCAAGGCTTAACGAAATCAAGTTTGCAAGCGGTGTACTTGACGAGCTTCTTTATCTGGGTGTGCCGTCTGAACGCAGATTTCCGTCGGGAATTATGATGTTAGAGTATACAAAAGCTGTTCAGGAGACTGTGTATGAACATATCCGTGTTGTTCGTGAAGGTCATCTTAGGATTATATTCTCCCAAGAGCTTAAGGTTCAAAGAGCTTTTGATTTCACATACATTTCTTCCTTTTCATGTATTAGAGTTGTTGAGCTTATCCTTCTGCTTTTCACCAGATTCTCTTATGGGAGTTCTGTACTCGCCGACATGAAGAGCTACTTCCTCGTCGCCTTGTAGCCCCACAGGTAAGGAGAAGAAAATTCCTTGCAATCATTGAAACTCTTTTTGGAATAGAATGTTCTGGTCCTGAGATTTTGGAACGTCTTGTCTCCTTGGTTCATGCAGGTGAACCAATTGCTTCAGGTTGCAGAGAAATGCCAGAGCACAATCGATCAAAGCGGATCAGATGGGATTCATCAGCAGGATTTGCAAGCCAATAGCAACATGTGAGTCTTGACAACTTCTAACTTTTCTCTCTTCTTTTCTCTTTCAATCAAATCTCATTTCATTATTTCTTGCATTTTCAACTTAATAGAGACAAATATGTTGTGCTAATAGATGCCATTTTTGCTCCAGGGTCATGGCTGCTGGACGTCAACTAGCAAAAAGCTTGGAGTCACATTCACTCAATGACTTAGGCTTCTCCAAACGATATGTTCGGTGTTTGCAGGTATCTGTCTCCTTACTTTCTTGATACAGTAATTTCCTAATTTCTCTGCATCATCCCCGTGGCTTCTCTCCTCTTTCCTATCTAACTATGTCTTTGTTTTCCTTTTAATAGATTTCTGAGGTTGTCAGCAGCATGAAAGATATGATTGACTTCTGCCGTGACCAGAAAGTTGGTCCAATCGGTAAATTCATACACAACTCTGTTAATTTCACTGTGATTCAACAAAACAACACATTTTGAGAAGCTTGTTGCCTTTAATTTACATCTGCAGAGGCTTTGAAGAGTTATCCGTATCAAACGAAGGCAGGCAAATTGCAGATGCAGGAGATGGATCATCTAGCAAATGCTGCTCGAGGGCTTCCACCTGATAGGAACAGCCTCAACAAGCTCATGGCCTTGCGCAATTCCGGGATTAACATACCGATGAACAGCAATATGAGCGGTCAAGGATCTCTGCTTCCCGGCTCTACACCAGCCGCGGCCTTTGCGCTTACCAACTACCAGACCATGCTGATGAAACAGAACCATCTGAATTCAGAGCCAAGCAACGCCACAATGGAACAAGAACCATCAAGAAACCCGAGCCCGTCCCCTAGCTACCAAGGAACGAGTCCTCTGTTGCCTGGCTTTGTGCAAAGCCCATCAATCAGCGGTGTCTCTTCCCGTTTGTCTCCTCAGCGGCAAATACCAAGCTCGAGTTATAATAGCGGAACAACCCAGCAATACCAACAACAACAACAACCCTCCTGCAATAGCAATAACCAAACATTGGAACAACAGATGATTCACCAAATATGGCAACAGATGGCAAACAGCAATGGAGGCTCCGGGCAACAACAACAACAGTCACTTTCTGGTCAGAACATGAATTCCAATGTCAACATGGGAAGAATAAGAACAGATTATGGTCCCGCAGTGGAGACACCAAGCAACTCCAACAGATTCAGAGGCATTAAGGGTTTAGAGCAGAGTCAGAACCTGGAAGGTATGGTCTCTAACACATCTCTCAACTTTGCGAACAACGGCTTCTTTAGCAGTGAGGTTGATGAAGGCATGGGATATTCTTGGAAGGCATGAGGAGGTCTTTTGGGATTTGATAGTTAGTTCCAGATGTTGTCTTTTTGTACAGACTGGAGTACTAAAGACTAGAGCTGTCTTAGGTTATATGAATCTCATGGAGGTTCATCAATGTTAACTTGTGTACTGTCTTGTCCTTGCTCGTAAGACTTCTTAAGCTTCTGTTTTTATCAAGAGGTTTTTGGAAAGTGTTGTCTAATTTTGGAAGAAATAAAACTAAAAGACCTGTTCTCCATTAACTCATCCCTATCATCATATCAATCAATATGTGCATTTTTTACTTATATAAAAGAGTGTTTTTTTCTTTTTCACCTTGTTTGTTTTAAAGCTGACGTCTCCACAAATCAATTGATGAAAAAAAATTATGAAGAGATTCAACCAAAAATACATTTCATCTTCCATATACGAACAGTCCCACTTGACCCACCTCACGACGGACCGGTGGTCCATAAGTCACGAGAGCCGTAAACAGACAGACTCATTGTTAATTGCATGTTTAACATAAAATGTGTATATATGATGATGAGATATATATAAACTTGAATCAAAAAGAATTGAATCTTGTTTTTATAATCATGTAAATGTTATGAGCTAACTAGACCAATAAACCATTTAAAGATACATACAACTGTGATATATCTTAAACCATAAATCATACAGATAGTCATAGAGCGACAGCAAAATATATATATAAGAAATATTAACTTTGCAATGGAATCATCCAAGTCTTTGGCAGCCGTTCTCATTGTCTTGTTTCTAGCCATGACTGCAATAGAAACCGTACCGGTGGTGCAAGCCCAAGAATGTGGCAACGATCTAGCAAATGTGCAGGTGTGTGCGGCGACGGTGCTGCCCGGTTCAGGAACCCCGAATGCTGACTGTTGCGCCGCCCTCCAATCTACTAACAAAGATTGTCTATGCAACGCTCTCCGCGCAGCCACCTCTCTTCCTTCGCTTTGTAACCTTCCTGCTATTGATTGCGGTACGGAACTTTTTGTTTTAAAAATAAACGGTTTAATGTTTTGTCAGTTCTAAGATTAGGATGTATGGTTTTTTATCATGCAAAATTTAAGTTTCAATACTACCAAGATTTAGGTTGTATTTTTTTCTATATATATTTGTAGATCATCTATACGATTTCATTTGTATTCACAGGGCCTCAACCGTGAACTTAATAGTCCAAACTTTGATACGCTAAAAAAGCTTGGCATTAATTACTATTTGAAAGTAATATATAGAGGATCGAGCCTCATATATCAGCTCTACTTAACTAAGCTAGTGTGTTTCTTAATGTTATATAGGCTATAGGCTAATGTCAGTCCCTAATTCATTTGAATAATTTTGTTTCTGAGGGTTTTGTATGTGTTGTATGCAGGTATAAATGATTAGTTTTAGCTAAGAGTCACTTCCGAGATGATCGAGGGAAAAGGAAGAAACAGAAGAATAATGAGAATTGTGCTGTCTTTATGTTATTTTTCTATAACTTATATAATCTAGTTCTGATAGCTTTCCCTTAGAAATCTGATACTCCTGTAATGAATAAAGCTTTGCTAATTGTGATATCAAACTTTAAAAAGCAAAATTCTTTTAAAGCATTTACCGTAAGGCTTAAATGTCGGAAATAATTAGATTAGGGGCTTGTTTAAGTACTAAGTAGCATGGGCTAACTATTTATGTTTAAATGCTCGTAAGCCTAAAAATTGCAACTGACCCTAGCTAGTGCATTCGTTGAATACGACTTCAGGATAGTATTTATTAGGCTCTACACGTTCGTTATCACAGCTTGTTTTATTTAGGAATATTCCTTATTTTCTTCTCTTTTATAGACTTGCTTCGAAACTGCATCCTATGGTTTATTTTGACGAATTAACGAAAGGAAGAAAAAAAAATCAAAGCTGAGTTTAATCTGGTAATTAACCAACCACTCTTTATTTTTATTAATTAATCACGCTTAGCCAACACAATGTCAATAACAATCGTATCCTACATTATATGCTTACCGAAAACTAAAAGAAACACACCTATCAATTATTCACACACAAAAAATACAACATTTCCTTTAACAAAAACAAATTACAGTATTTTCTCAAGTTTGCAGTCATTGGAGGAAATCAGAACGGTAAAGCAAAAAAAGCAGCAGATTGCAGAAGTCGCAGACACTAGACTACAGTGAGTTATGGGCTTCGAAGAATGACACGTCCTCCAATTACTTTTTTTCTTATGTGTATTATTAAATTCAAAAGATACTCACTTTACAAAAACATAAACTAAAAATGACGTCATTAATATTAAAGGTTTGAACCGAACCACAACCACAGATCTGGTACGGGCTAGAAGTAGTCAGGCCCATTGACTTTTTTAACCACTCCAATTAAAGTCAAGCAAAGCAAAACTCAAAAATGTCTTTCGAGAGACGCGTGAAAGCAACTCGCTACATTTACGCGCGTGGAAGCGTACTTTGCAATCTATAAATACATAAAACCGTTTATTAAGCTCAGAGCTTCTCTCCATACGCAAATGTTTATGTTTTTCTGTTCCTTAATAAAAACAAATCTCTCAGCAAATTAAATGAAGTGTAGACTCACCGGAAAAACCTTCCGTAAACTCTCTCCGGCGATTTTCCGACGATGAACGATGGGCTTTTTCGGGAGACTATTCGGGAGTAATAAGAAGCAGGATAAATCGGCTCCGTCGAGTGACAGACGGAGGTGGAGCTTCACCACCAGATCCTCTAATCCGGCGTCGTCGAATTCCAGCAAAAGACGTTCGCATCCCGCGGCGGAGGAGGAAAACGCCGACAAGCATGCAATAGCCGTGGCGGCTGCGACGGCTGCTGTGGCGGAAGCTGCTCTAGCTGCTGCTCATGCGGCGGCGGAAGTCGTTAGACTCACTAGTGGAACCGGCAGTAGAAGCGCCGGTGGAGGAGGGAGCAACCGCCGGTGGGCTCAGGAGTATCTAGCGGCGGTGAAGATTCAATCCGCTTTCCGTGGTTATCTGGTAAGTTAGTAATTTCTCACAGAGAGTTTAAATTTTTAAAATCTCTAAACTGTTCTTTTGTGATCAATTAAGCTCTTAAAGTAAATTTCCATAAATTACTAAATTCTTTTTTGATAGTGTGTAATAGCTGTCTGAAATTTGTAGTTTTTTTTTCTCATTCCGAAATTCAAAGTTTTTTTTGTTTCTACTCAAATATTTTTGAAATGGAAACAATGGGCATAGTTTGGTTTCTTTTGTTTGTGTGGGGGGTTTTGGTCCCAAAGAAACAAGAGACTAAAGAAGAAGACAAACAAATGTGAAACAGAGAAGTTTCTTGGAAACTTGATACACTCTGCCGACACTATTTTAGTATTTTTAGTGGTTATGAACAGTTATAATTTTTAATGGCCAGTTTTCAAAGAAAAAAAATTGCATTTTTGTCACTCAAATTTTCTTCTCAAGGATTTGATCAGGATCTAGGCTTGCAGAGTTTTGAAATTTAAAAAAAAAAAAAAATGTTAAGAGTTAGTGTTGGTCTGAACTCTGAATCATTGATTTTAGTTGCTTACTCGTTGGCATATGTTCTTTTTCCTCTTAATTTTTCTTTTAAAAGTCTTATTCTTTTAAGGAGATAATTATCACTGATTAGTATTCTGATGGGTTCTTTTTTGCTTTAGGAGCAACTTTAATTATTTTTTCCATGTACTTTAAAGTTGGATTCTTTAATCAAAGCTTTTAGTTTCCCTTTACTTGCAAAGTCTTGTTTTCTTAACCATGTTTTTACCCTTTTCTGAATTGTTTTATCAATAAAACTAGCTACAAAAGTTTTCAAAACACGGAATTTGGAGATTCTCTAATGTTCGAGTTTCCAAGATCAACCAATGTGAAAAGAAGAACTCGTGTGTGTGTGTGTGTGTGTGTGAACATTTGACCTTGAGACATACTTTAGCAAATGGTGGGCTCTGTGATTATTTGGTACAAGTGGAAGTGGTTGGGAACTAAAAGCAAACTAGAATAATTTCACTAACCCACACATCATCCCTTTATTCACTTCTTTTTTTTCTTTGTGATTTTTAAAAATTAGTTGGCAAAGCGATGATTATGTCTTTAACAAATCATTAAAACTCAGTCATCTTTTGTTTTAACACTTTCAAGCAAACTCAATTTCTGTTTATTGTGTGGAGCCAATTTTCAGGCGAGGAGAGCATTAAGAGCACTAAAGGCATTAGTGAAGCTTCAAGCTTTAGTGAGAGGACACATTGTGAGAAAACAAACCGCAGATATGCTTCGAAGGATGCAGACTCTAGTTCGTCTCCAAGCTCAAGCTCGTGCTCGTGCCTCTCGTTCCTCTCACTCCTCTGTTTCATTCCACTCCTCCACCGCTCTACTGTTCCCTTCTTCCTCTCCTTCTCCGCGTTCTCTCCACACGCGCTGCGTTTCAAACGCTGAGATCATCCCTATGGACCACCGTGGCTCAAAACGTTTAGATTGGCAGCAAGCCGAAGAAGACGACGACAAGATCCTAGAAGTCGACACTTGGAAGCCTCATCATCATCCAAAACGTTCAGAGAGAAACAACGAGTCTCCGAGGAAGAGACAGCAGTCTCTGTTGGCTCCGAGAAGCACAGAGAATAGTCCTCAAGTTGGGTCTAGTGGCTCAAGGAGAAGAACACCGTTTACGCCAACGACAAGAAGCGAGTACTCTTGGGGATGTAATAACTATTACTACTCGGGTTATCACCCTAATTACATGGCTAACACCGAGTCTTACAAAGCTAAAGTACGGTCACAGAGCGCGCCTAAACAGAGGATTGAGGTTCCTAATGAGACTAGCGGCTACAAGAGATCAGTCCAGGGACAGTATTACTATTGCACGGCGGTTGCGGAGCAGAGTTTGGACGTTGGAAGCCCTGGTTACTACGGAGGAGGAGCTTCTGACCGATTGAATCGAAACCATAGCGAGAAATCGAGGATGCGTTCTTCGTATCTTGTTTAGATTATTATGATTTTTCTTTTTGGTTCTAGTGTGGGGAATGTCCAGGTGAAGAAAAGTGGTCAAATCTGGATGTGTAAATTGTTTTTTTTTTTTAACAAGTTTCGATTGCTTGCCAAAGAAGAAACAAAACTCTGTTCTAAACTTCTAATATATCTTTGGTGATGATTAATTAGTGTGTTCAACTAAAGTTAACCCGGTAAAACTGATTCGAAAACCGAAATGTATATGGTTAAAATGTTTTGAATTTTTTAAAGACATCCGACATTTAGACAAGACCTAAACTAACTGATGTCACATTGGTAACTGTTTTTGTCAAGACAAGAACTATGAGTTTAATACATCTTGTATTTAAAAAAAGAGGAATATTTCTTGGTTAAACTAATTGAACACTCATAATTTGTTTGAGCTGATCCAGTCGATACGAGTCGTTGTGGAATCCAATGAGCCTTCACTCAATGCTAAAAAGAAAAAATAAATCAATCAAATTTGATAAATAAACCATAGAGGATTATATAAAGAGAGATGGTCTTACAAGTTGCAATCGGTGTTAGGGTCGATGGTGAAGCCCAAAACGATGCCGCAGAAGCCAGACAAAGTAGAAATGGCGGTGGCGTTTGAGTTATAGACATTAATGAGATGAATAAAGCAATTACAGAGCCACGTTTTCTTCACCGACGTATCAGAGTAAGTTCCAAGCACATTCATCGCGTCGCAGCATCTCGACCCGGGTATCGGATCCGGGTAACCGTAATTCACAAACTCCGTACACGACGAGATCAGCGTTCCAACCGCCGCACAATCCGCCGCGTTTTCTACGGTGGCTGAACATATCGCCAACAGTAATGAGAATAAGAAGAGAGACACCAGCGGGTAGAACAATCTGGTCATATCTTTTGATAAAAAGGATGATTGATAGATCTTTATTTCGCCAAACGTTTCTTTGCTTGTTGTACAAGTATTATAAGCTAGGGTTTGTAGACATGACATAAAAAGGACGAAGGCTTTTTTCGTTTGTGTGTGTCAGTATGTGTGTTTGGAGTTGGTTTGCAACAGAGATTGTGTGAACGCCACGAGGTTTCTATGAAGCTTTTTCGTCAGAATCAAAATAGGAGCAGGTCAAGGATCAAAACAGAGATTGTCTCTAAATTACTAATCAAACCGAAATCCTGAACAAAACCGAAAAAAATAATCAAACCGATCGGATTCGGTTCGGTTTTAAACCAAACCAATAGCCACGAGGTTTCTATGAAGCTTTTTCGTCAGAATCAAAATAGGAGCAGGTCAAGGATCAAAACAGAGATTGTCTCTAAATTACTAATCAAACCGAAATCCTGAACAAAACCGAAAAAAATAATCAAACCGATCGGATTCGGTTCGGTTTTAAACCAAACCAATCGGTTTAACTAAAACCCTTAATTTTGCTTCCTTCACACTCGATTCATCGTCATTTTTCACCGTTTTAGATTCTCTTCGCCGTAATCCAGAGTCGTCTCGTCTCACCGTCGCCGTATTTCTGCAGATTCTCTGATCAAGTAGGTGTTTAGCTTCTCTGCTGTTACTTTGTTACGAATTGGTTAGATTTTGCCACTCCTTTTTTTCTTCCGTAAGGTTTTTCATCTTTAAAACTCAGATTTGGATTTGTGTATGTAAGTATCTGAGCTGATGCTGCCACAAAATCTACCTGCTTTTTTCAATCTGATACTTTCTCCTTCAAATTCCACACGTTTCATCTTTATGGCTTCTTCAAATTTGCAATTTCCTCGTCTATGAGAATTTACTCCTTCTGGGTTTTGCTTGATTTCGGCCTATGATTTTCCGATCGAGTAGCTATTGTTTTTCTGTTCATGTTTCCATATGGAAACTTCATTCTGTGAGCTATCGTTGTGAAGTTAGATTTAATAAGATTCATTTTAAGTAAGATCGATGACAAAAAAGCTTTACTCTTCGATCTAAAAATCACATTTTTATTCGTCTGTGAAACAAAATCACATCATCATCTTAAAAATCATAACTTTATCCTTACTTGTATACAGGATCTTGTTCAGATTTTTCTGCAATGGCTTTGAGGCGAACCTTATCTATAAGGTCCACACTTACCGCTCGGCGAAACCAACTACCTTATCACATTATCACTCGTGAGCATGATCACGACGAGGACTCATTCACATCTCAGAGAAGTCGTTACCATAGCTATCTTCACCAGAGATCCTCTAACAACTCTGGTTTCTCCCAAATGACGAGAGGAGGAGGCTTGCATTTGCCTCTGGCTCCTTCGTCTGGTTTCGCTTTCTATCGTTATATGTCAAGCGCACACGGCGTCGGCTCAGAGAAGATTGGTGTGATGACCGACATTGCAGAAGTCATAACTGATTCAACGTTGCAAGATGCGCCGGCTCAGGTCGCTGCTGCAGTCAGTGAAGTTACGCTTGCAGCTAGTGACTCGTTCTTGCCTATCGCAGCTCTTCAGCATTGCATTGATATGGTGCATACGTTCACTGGTTTTGAATGGTAAGAAACTTTAAAGTTTACTTCTTTTGTGTGTGTAGTGTTTCACTTTGATCAATTATCAATCTTAATTGGAGTAGAGTTGATCTTACGTATTCATCACATGTTAGCAACACTGATGCTATTAATCTCCTTATATTGTTTATGTGGTATGGACAGGTGGGCGTCCATTGTTTTAGCAACAATTGTGATCCGAACATCAACAGTTCCTCTCTTGATCAAACAAATGAAAGACACAACAAAGTTATCGGTATGCGTCTCCTGTTTACTTCATTTTTTTAAGACTATTAGGGAATGGTGCATAAAATTGTTTGGTTGTCAACACTGTTTTCCCCAAATGTTTATGTAGACAAATCATGTTACATGTGGATATAGTTTCTGTATTGAGTATAAAGTTGAGATCAACATCACTGTAGTCAATAACACAAGTCTGTTCAATGATCATGCAGCTGATGAAGCCGCGGTTGGAGGCCATCCGGGAGGAAATGCAAAACAAGGTACGTTAAGTTTCTTATCACAGCCATACATAATGCTAATAACTTGACTACATGCCCGCTCACTTGAGCTCAGAATTTCCTTATCTTCATGTATTGACTTTCTCCACTTCCTTTCTCTCTATATGTGTTCAGGGAATGGACCACGTTACAATGGCAGAAGGTCAGAAAAAGATGAAGAATCTGTTTAAAGAGTAAGCTCCTTTTATATTTAAAGTAAATGAGATAGGTTTGTTACAGAATCCAAACCTTATGTGTTTACCAAAACAAGAGCTCTATATATCATATCATAACTTTTCTGTTCTACTGGCTATTGTATTGTTCGAGAATCATATGACGTTTTGAGAATATTGCTAGGATTGTCCACATAACAATACATTGTCTGTTTAATATCTACAGATATGGTGTCACTCCATTCACCCCAATGAAAGGAATGCTTATTCAGGGACCTCTGTTCATCTGCTTTTTCCTTGCTGTAAGGACCTTGTTTAATCTTTAAGATGGCTTTTGGCTGTGTTGTTCTTAAACAGTTACTTTTTATTCCCTCAGATTCGAAATATGGCAGAGAAGGTACCTTCATTCAAAACCGGAGGTGCACTATGGTTTACCGATCTGACAACCCCGGACAGTTTATACATCTTACCGGTTATAACAGCAATGACATTCTTGATTACCGTTGAGGTACAGTTTCTTGCTAACTTTTTAAACAGTTTGAACATCTTCAACATTTTGTCAGACTTGCTTAACTTAAAGCTTTAAAACCGTCACTCCTCAGTGTAATGCACAAGAAGGCATGGAAGGAAATCCAATGGGAAAGACAATAAAAAACGTTTTCCGAGGTTTCGCTCTCCTCACAGTCCCCATGACAATGAGTTTTCCTCAGGCCATATTTTGTTACTGGATCACATCAAACCTGTTCTCTCTCACGTATGGACTTGGTAAGTGAGTGTGTGAGTGATTAAGATTCATAATTGCGGGATAACAATAACAATGAATGGTTAATCCGGTGGTGATGTTGTATTCACAGTGATAAAGCGTCCTCAAGTGAAGAAGTTTTTAAAGATACCTGAGCTGCCTCCAACTCCTCCAGGTCAACAACCTTCCTTCGACCTTTTTTCAGCTCTCAAGAAATTGAAAGGGTTGACACAGGACCCTTCCCAGAACCAGGCACAGCCACTTTCCACAGTAAACCCGAGGATCTCTTCAACATCGTTGAGTCCTGTTAGTAAGAGGCTCAAGGCTTTGGAGAGCCAAGTTAAGGGAAGGAAGAAGAACAGCAGCAAGAAGAGGTGATTTCACATTGTGCATTCTATTTTTGTTAGAGGAGAAAAGAAATAATAAAGCTTTTGTGTCAAAAAGTGTAGAGGATGAGAACCAATAGTCATACACTCATACTACACAGATTTTTCTTCATTGCTGAAACTATCCCGAGAGCCAAATATAGCTATTAGTGAAATTTTATGTTTTCTTTATTATTTCTATGAAACGATTTTGTATAATACCATACTCTTTTATCTTAATTTAAGTATCAATCGATCAAATGACATTCTTTCTTTCTTTTTAGAGTAACATACAAAACAATACATACCATGTGCTTAGTTAGGACTTTATTTTAGCACATAAATGTATGTATATTTATTGAATTTTATTATGTATATATATATATATATATAGAGAGAGACTTAGAGAGACTCTGTATAGTATCATTATGTAAATAGTTTTGTTAATTAATAAGAAGGACGTCGTCGAGGAGCAGTTTCACGTTGGGCGTTGAAGTAAACAGCAGCAACAGGAAGAGAAAGACCAAAGAAGGAAGAGAAGTCTCTTGTGTTGAAACACTCCCTTGTTGCCGGCGCCGCCTTCACCGTTTGCCTCCCTCTCTGTCTGAACAGCACAAACGCGTATCTGTGTATCCCAGCCACCGGTTTTGGCGTTTCGTATCTCACTATCTCTTTCCCTGAAAGCAAATCACCATTCATGATACATTTCTTCATCACCATCATCGTTTCTCTTGTTCTTCCCAAAATGTGTTTGCTTAGAAATGTGTTTTGGAGCAGATTGAGCTTAATAGATAGAGATTTTTGTGTTTCTACTAAAAGAGTAAACGTAAAACAAAAACTAGTTTCATAATCTTAACTAAAAAACAAACTCTTCAAATAATTGATTAGATGAGTCGGAAAGTTTATTTGTTGCGACATAAGGCATACCAATGCAGATATTCACGCATATAAGGATTACTAGGGCTCGGTGCATCAGGGTCCATCATGATCTTTCGAGTTAAAAGGAAAAAACAAAAGATTGTTACAAGAGTGAACTAATTAAGTAGTTAACGTTTATTACTATTCACATATATACTTAAGCTTTAGAAGAAAGATATAATTACTAAGGTGAAGAATGAACGGAGATCGTGGCCGCCGATTTCAACGCGAGGCTTAGAGAGGAGAAGAGAAGGCCCGAGCTCGTGGCCGTTGGAGACGATTGTGTTGGAATTGAAAGTGACTCTCATAGTCACACTTGGAATGAACATTTCTAAAACATCTCCTATCACTCTCCCCACTATTAGTGGCTCTATTTCTCTTGACATTATTGCCACTTCTTTTTCTTTGCTCCAAATTTTCAGTTTTGTTTGTGACTGATGCTGGTTTCTTTGGAATGAGCCATGTGATGGCTTTTTATAGGGTTGCTAAAGGAATTTTTTTCATATGGACATCTACAAAGACTATTATATTAATTTATCATTAGCTCTAGTATTTTACTATTTGACATTTCTTTTTTTTGTTAAATACTATTTGACATTTCACGACGACATCAGTAGATATGTGTATGTATCTTTTATGTGATTTTTAACCAGTGTTACTTAAAATTCTTATAACTGGTGTTGATCACACAACCTTTAACCTTTTATCAACAATTTATTTTTATCCAAAAAAGCACATCATTGTATAAATTAGTTATCTTACAAATAATCCATGTCTAATTTTGTTCACGTTTCGAGTTTATTAGCTATAAATATTGTATGAAATAATATAAAATAAATTTAAAAGCTAATAATGTTCGTCCCCATTTACATTCGAATAATTTGATCAGAGTAGAAACAGAAAAGAAAAAGAAAACGCACGCGTGTCGTTCTAAAATGAAAACCAGATGAGGTGTCGATTGGCTTAGAAATTGATTTGTAGATATTCCAAATAAGAAGAAGCAATGAAACAACAATAAAAGAAAGGAATCTGCTTTAGAGAGACTAATTTGACACTTTCTTCTAGTTTCTAGCTATTCATGGATTCGACATGACTTTTTGTCATCAGTATGTGTTATGCTCAAATCCAGTACGTGGCACAAACACAATGGCACCAACTTTTAAAAGCCTATTTGTATTTCCATTTCCATTTCGTTTGAAGTGAACTGAGACATGTTCGTGTGTTTGTTCTGTACCGATTATATCTCCTTTTGCTTCTGTTTATTTGTCAACGGTCACATTTGCTTTACAACTAACCAAAACATTTGAAACCTTATCAGTCACAATTTACAAATCATTTTGGATATCATGTACATTTGTATGGGATTTACAAATCATTTTCTCTTCTTAAACAATAGTCACTTTTTTCCAACAAAAGGTAATAATAACATAATCGTTTCCGTTTATAATCGAAGATATTTTAACAAAACCCAACCAAATAGATTCCAGTTGACAACAAAGAGAACATTACCAACAACAAAACTTGTCTCCATGGAATCTAACACGTTGATGATTTGATTGGAGCTAAGATATCACTTTTAGCCAAACTCAAACAGTTTAAAAGAAGGTTTGAAATAGTATCTTGGAGAAATTTGGATACAAATCTATGATTACATAAATAACTGAACCATTTTAAACGTATAATTTGCTGAAAATTATAATTCTAGCATTTTCTAGAAAAAGGGACATGGGACAGAGAGGTGGTGGGAATTGGAGTGATATTTTCTTGAGAAGATCCGATAATATTAGAGCATAGTTTTTCAACGAAATTGATAAACAAATGATGTCCACGTGTGCGATCCCTGGTATCACATTCCTTATCGAAGGAAGTTATATATCATATCATCCATCTTTAGTGTACGACCATGTTTAGCATTTCCCATTTTAATACTTAGCGTACTTGGGTTAAAAATGATATGAAGTAGAACCAAACTAGTCCAGTTTCCTTATTGTTAAAGTCAGATTAATAAAGCTAATCAACATTTTAAACATTTGAAAACAACAGTCGAAAAACTAACGAATTCATTCATAATAAAATCACCTCAAATTTTCCTTTAAACCATGTGTAAATCTTTATCTGATTTTGATGACTTTCTGTTAATGACACTTATTACACTATAGTCTTCGTATAATCCTGAATTAAGTATAACACAAATCAAATGCTATTTTCCTTTTGACTTGGGTTACTTCAAAACTCAAGAGTTACTTTCAAATCAAAACTTGCAGAGCATTCTAAACAACAGAAGAAGGTAAAGGGTTTCTCCGAACGGGACGAGATGGCTTCTTGAGATAAGACGAGTTCCATTCTCCACCTTCTTGCGCATAATAATCCATTGGATAGTCTCCATCCATAACCCCATCATCATCCTCATCTTTCTTCACCTTTTCACTTCCACAAGCACAGCTTGTTTCTTTCTCCTCTTTGCAACATCCAGACGAAGAACAAGAAGACTCTCCTCCTCCTCTGCTCAAAGTCCCCTTCTCCCACCAACCAGGTACAAACCCTAACGCAATCTCAGCCTCAAAAGTCGTCAGAAGCGGCTTCAGAAACGCCTCACCCCAATCTATAGAAAGCCTCGGACACGCTATTTGCACCCAAGCATCCACCGAATCCTCAAACAAAGCCACTCTCGTCGGACTAAGCTCCGACATCAAAACCACCGTGCTATCAATCCCTCTCTCCTTCATCTTCATCTCCAACCTCTCAAGAATCTTAGGGTTCCCTTGCCTTCCCAATGTCCCCAACACAATCCCCCAAGTCTTAGCCTCCTTTGCCCTCGCAATCGCTCTCCTTCTCGTCTCTCTCATTCCCTTATGATCATACTCTTCCAAAAACAGCTTCCCAAGATAAGGATCATACCTAAACGCCTTGATCTTCGGATTCGCTATCATGAACGCTTCTAGATGAAACCTCCCATCAGCTACAAACACCAAAACCGCGTCTTTACAACCATCATCAACTCTCGAGATCTTAGGAGCTGTGCAGCCCAAGACTTCACCAGCCGATAAAGGCTTTGACTGAGGGATCAAAACGCTAAACCCTTGCTTCTCCAGCTCCGGCTTCACGGCTCTAATCGCGGAAGTGAACTGAATCGTCCCCGCGAGGATTATGTTCTTGGCGTCATCGTTCGAGAGATTGAGATGGATTGTGTTCAACAAGCATTTGACATCGATCTGGATCTCGACGAAGACGTAAAGGCAAGGGATTTTCGTGGAGTCGATAGGGACGAGACAGCTGTGTCCGTAGTGGATGAGCAAGTCGGCGCCGAGCGCACAGGCGGAGAAATCGTCGACGCAGCAGGCTCCGTAAGTGACGTCGCCGAGGACGAAGCAGTGTGAGGCTCCGGCGAAAGATGTGAAGATGTCGGAGAGGGTGAGAGCGTACATGAGAAGACCCTCGGGGAGCTGCAGAGCGATGCGTTTGGCGTTTGACGATTTGATTCTCCAGACGCATTTGTGGACCTCGAATTGGTAAATCGATGGGAGGAGTGAGATTGCGGCGTTGAGCGATGCGTCGCCGAGGATCGATTCGGGGATTTGGTTCTTCACGAAACGCTTTGGAGGTTGTTTTGGTTTGTTGATTTTGGTGACATTGATTTGATCAGAAAGCTCCATACTTTACCCCTGGCAAATGAAATCATAAATTCAATCGAAAGACCCCAAAAATTAGGGTTTCTCTTATAGCTTAAGCTCCGTTGCCTGAACATGAATCGCTAGACTAAAACAGTGAAATTCGATTGATGTACTAATCTAGCTGAAGTTTCTATGAATCGATCGAAGGGAAACTAGAATTAGAGATTTGAATCAGTATACTTTGAGATGGAAGACAAACCTTTAGAAACGAAGCTCCGGTGGGATGATGGATTCTGAGAGAAAGAAGAGACGGCGGCGCAGAGCCAAGTAGATCAAAACTAACGAGTTCTATAACCTAACCTTATTGTATTTGAAATTTTTATAATCTATAGACTATAGTATAATATTGATGGGGTAAACTGTTTACCGTAAACTAGATTTTTAAATAATATTTACTATTCTCTGTCTCTGTAATCGAAATCCCAGACTTTAGCTTATAACTGTATAAGCATTAAGCACTATTAAATATTATGGTCAATCAGAAACCATTTTTAAAATAACTAGAACAAAATTTGCTCTAGCATATGAAGTTTTATCAAAATTTTAGATATAACCTATGAGCTACGGCAATGTCTTAGTAATAGTCACAATTATAGCAACCGTTCATTCTTGTCTTGACAAGAACTAATACAATAATTAGAATGATGAAATGCTAATATGCACTATGAATATTCAACAAGTGTTTGGTCGATTGTGTTCTCAATTTTCCAAATATTTTTCGAAAGAAAATTATTTTTTTGAGTAGTATAGTATCCTCCACATCGACGGAAAATCGAACTGTTTAGATGCTGATGTCTAAGGGGTTTTCTTGCAAGTTAAAGTCATGAGCTAGGTTTTTGATTTAACATCGAGAGTGATTGAGTAGTAGTAATCAACGAATGATACGAGTGACAAATTTGCACGTAACGTTTTCCGTCTAAATATCAACACATTCGGTCAAGCATTTGATGATACAATTAGCTAATATTTTGTGCTACCAATTCCCAATATATTATTTTTAAAAATAAATGATCAAGACCGATGTAATGGTAATCTACACTCATCGCATAATTATTACCCAATAAAATCCTTTTGTTTTGTTTGGGAATGTATAGGAAAATGTCATTAATAAGTTTCGAGATTTACACAGGTCAAAGTAAGATATCGATCATAGAAAATAACTTGTGATACTCGACGAAAACGGGTCCACGTTACATGAGTCGCGCCCACCAAACGGGAGATTCCAGATGCTTCATTACAAATTTCAGTTTCATCACTAATAATTTAATCTCTAGTACGTTCTTTTCGTTAATAAAAAATTACGTAATTTTTAATAAATCCAATAAGAGGAGAAAAAGGGTCAAAAATGGGAAAGTCGAAGAGAAAAAACTATAGACGGAAAACTGAAAAATAGCATTTATTATAAATAACAAAATGTCAGAGAAGAAGTCAAGATTGATGAAACTTCTTGAAACACACAGATGGGACACGTGCTAAATTTGTCGAAAGCTGTAAATCTTCTACTTCGCGCACAAATCAACACCAAATCTCAGCCGTTAATTACAGACTCTCTGATTAGCCCGATTATAGTGTCTCAGCCACGGCGTCTCCTCCTTCTCTCCTCCTCCACCGCCTCCTCCGCCACCGGATGTCTCTCCCGTCTTCACCTGAACCCCTTCGCTTCTCGTCCGTTTAAGGGCTATCGGAACACCGAACAGCCTCGTGCTCGCTTCTCCCTCCTCCGCAATCGTCTCACCTGAAAACCGCTTCGCCGGTAAAAACTCCACCGGTTTCATCGCGTCGTGACTGCTACTCCCTCCCGAAGAATAGCTCCGATCGGGAAGAGATCCGGCGTAGTTCGACATGAGGCCGAATATGTTATCGCATAGAGATTTCATCTGAGTGAGCTCACGGTTAAGCTGGATGTTCTGACTCCGAAGCTTCTCGTTCTCCTCCAGAAGCTCAACCGATAAACCACCGTTTCCGGTTTGACAATTCCACGACGACGGCGACACCGCCTGATCTCCCCCTGAATTCGACGGAGACACAACCGTCTGGATTCTCTGAGCCGCCACAATCTCCGGCGGCGGAGGAGCTGATTGAGTCGTTAATTTCCGGCGCTGGATCTCGCGGAGAAGACGTCTCTCTCCTCTCCTGAAGAAATCGTTCGAAAACTCCCACCGATCCGGCACGACTTTTTTGAATCCCTGCAAAAAAAAAACAAAATTAACGATTAAAATCCAGAATCGAACCGACGAAGAAAATCGGAGATTATCAATTATCAGCACGATTCACGACGTACGTAAGTGTTGAGCTGGCGAACGAAGCTGGAGAAGTTGTTGTGTTTGAAATGTTTAGGAAGCAAATCCTTTGCGAAATCAGTCGGATTCCAGACGACGAAAGAGGAGCCATCTTCGTTCCAGGAGATAACGTCGTCGATGGAAGGATCTTCTACGAGGTTATAAGTCTTGGTGAGAAACGGCGTCGGGACAGATCTCTGAGATTCACCGGTGACGACGACCATCGCGGCGTCACCGTTATCGCGCAGCTCCACCGGAGAAGATGTCATTTAGATTAAACCGGAGAAGTAAGAAGGAAGCGAAAAGAAGAAACGTCCCCTGAAAGTAACGAAAGGAGAATGGAGAGAATGAGTGTGTTAAAAAGAAGGAAGAATCAACGAAGATCGAGAAGCTGCGTAATCTTTTGGGCTTTCAGGAAACTTCCGCTGCATGTTTATTCCCTGATAGAGTGTGTCCAAGTGGTGGGCCCCTACGCTGTTACTTTATCCTATTGTTTATTTGGAATTTGGAAATTAATTATTATACAGATGTCTCTGGCCTGATGTGTGTCAATCGGTATCAAAAACTCATCATCATATGTGTCCATGGTGTTGAATAACAAAGAGTAGCGAACAAGAGAACACTTACTTGTTTTGTCTGAGTCCATTAGCAACTAATTTGTCGTTGTTATTTCCAATTTACGGAAAGTGCGTGAATAAGTGATTTCTACGGATGAGATGGCTCGTATCATCAACTCTTGTAGAATTTTCTATATGCTCAGTGATTTTCAGAACGCATTTAGTTTTCTCCGGTTCTATGATTTGCTTCCCAAAGATTGAGGTGAAGAGTTAAGAGTGTACTACTCATTCTTTGGTGGTGGAATAAACAAGTATTCATTCTTAAAAGTTAAAACAGTCTCTTAATGTTTAGGTTGTAGTGTAACAACCTACATAAAAAAGATTTTGATGAAATATAAGTACTACTGATTTCGAATGGTTTTAAGCCTATTCTCATGTTAAGTGTAGGTTAAGGCAAGTTTGGATATGACGAATTCATGTAATAGAAGAAATAGATCAAGACAACAAAGTAAATTAGTAATTTAACAAACTTTGACACAACTTTTATACCAGTCGCTCACTTAGATCAAACCGACTTTGAGAGAACCGCATCATATTACTCTGATCTAATCCCCGTTAGGCTTTAGTGAACCAAACGCGAACGCTTTTTCCAAACGATGCACAGAAAATGAAGATCCGGTAGTGTTTAAAAAGGTAAAATCTTAAAAACTTATGTACATTGGGATTAATATATAAACAATAAAAAAGACTCCAAGAGATCAACGAAATACATATAACAAGAACCGATACCAGCCTCCAACTACAACTCCACACCATCTTTTTCTACTTAAAATAAAGAGCCTTTCATATTCTACTATATCATACCTGTCCCCTTTTCTTGTTTACTTATAACATATATTGATTATTATTAGAGATAATAGGGTGGTGGAAGATGCTAATAAAATCTAAGTGGCCAACAAAATACTTCAAAAATTGCATTTCTTTTTTAATATCATATCTTAAAAACCCCCCATAAGCCCATGTTGCTCTCCTGTCTCTCTAGCCTCCACCATCAACACTCCTGATATGGGTTCTTACCTTTCCTCTCCTGCGTTATAAAAAGGATCAAACATCATTGTCTTGTCTGTAACGACATAAACTTAGCTTGTGAGTTTCTTTCTTGTCTTCATTTAGTTCAGACCCAAAAATATACATACCTAGTCTTGCAGCAAAAGGGGGTTGGATTTTTTTTTGTTTAAGAGTTGGCGGCGCTGGACAATGAAGGATTCGAGGCAGACTTGGCGTCCTTTGCATCTGATCCTTCTCCAACAACTGCCTCTTCCTCGCTCCTACAGCTTAGAGTTCCAGGGTTCATCTTCCTCACTTCCTCTTTCGTGTATATGAAGATCTTTCGAACCATGCAACAAAACTCCCTGTGAAGTTATCATTGTCTCAATGTTAAAAAGAAACAACTGACAAAGATATGCATTTGAGGTATAGGGAAGACGGAAAAAACAGCAAAATCTTACTGCCAGGGATCATCTCCGACAAGCATCATATCATTCTCATCATCTGTGTAAACTATCAACCAATCTTTCTTCGGAGACATCAATTCCCCATTGAACTCAAACAAGCTATCCAGCTCACCAATTAACTCCTCGTAGTTATGGAACTTTGAAAGATCTACTGACCGGCCAAGTGCAATCCCCTGCTTGTGAACCTATACAACAACGAAAAATGTATACTTTAGTCAAAAACGGCTTCAAGGACTCTCACAAGCTCAATACAATACTAACAAGGGCAAAAAACCACCTTTGTGCAACTCCTATTTGAGTTTGTTTTAGTATGAGCGTCCTTCGGATGGGGATGGTTAGTCTGGAATGGTCTTCCCTGTTCGCGATGATCGTTTGTCGATTTTGACCCTTTTGACAGATCAGAAATATCCTGAACCTTTGGGGACGCGATCTGCGCAAGACTCGCTGCATCATTCAAGTTGTTTCTCTGAGACATGGCTGAATCTGTCCCATTCATGTTGTTGACCAGAGGAATGCCGAAAAGCCTGCAGTTCCCGTCTCTTGACCTTGGTGTCTCCTCTTGTGCTATCGTGGGTCGTTTCGCTACATTCTCCCTAGCCTGTGCTTGCGCCTGAGCCTGCGCTTGAGCATGAACCGCCTCCTCAAAATAATTCAAAGCACGTGGACGTATTGGCCAGTTAGCACCACCATTATCAGTCGTCAGACCATGAAGCACCGGATATTCGCCATATTTGACATTGCCCATCCCTTGGAAAGGGGTATCAGATGCTGCAGGAACCTTAGGAGACTCATGTAACTTCAGGGAAAGACCAGAGTGCATCATCTGCCACTGGTTAGCAAGATAATCAAACTTGCCATCCTGATCACCCAAGGATTTCTTTCCAGGCACAGAAGGTGATGAAGAATGGTCGTAGAGAGGTATCCGATGACCGTGTGATGGATCTATGTTAGCCCCAAAGCCCGAAAGTAAATCTGTGTAAGTAGGTTCATGTCTGCCTGAGGGCATCCAGTGCTCAAATCTTCTAGAAGCCGAAACCACATCCACCTTATCATCATCCGCTGAGGATTGCCACACAACAGAATTTTCAGGAGCATCACACTCTACATTCTCTGTATGTTTCGTTCTCAAGGTCGGGTATTCTTGACCTTGCAAGACCCTTGAGAGTCCACTTGCCGGTAGAGGGTCCATGTTTGGTTTAAATGAGCCTGTTGTGGGTAAAATGAATGAACGAGTTTCAATTAGTTTTCAGACACACTAATATAGTCACACGCACTGCAACAGAAGGGAAAAACTTTACCTTCTCTTGTGAGCATGGAAGAATCAGGAGATGAAGGAGCTATATTAGATCTAGGCCTCTTAGGCCTTGGCATGGGAACAGGACTCAAAGCAGGAGGAGCAAGAGCTGGCTCTATCTTCCACGGAGATACTCTTTCAGGTCGAGGAATACTAGAAGTCTCGTCCCATCTCACCTAAAAGAAAATAGAACATTAAGCATTCATTCACTATAACAACAATAGTCTCATCTTCTCTACGATTTAAGTCACATACCTTGAGGGATCTCCACTTTGATTTTGCCCACCTCGCTGGGTCAGAGTCTTCAGTCCCAACGATTGTGCCGGTAAACCTAATATAAATCAAAATAATCTTTGAGTTTCGTCCTTCCTTAGGAAATCACATCCAAATCTCATATATATCTGAAAATTGTACGCCATGCCAAAAAGACAGGGTATGTATGGTATTGGAAGAGCAGTAGAGACATTTTTACCTCTGCTCAGGAGCCTCTTCGCCTTCGAATCTCATTTTAAATCTCATGCCTATAGAGTAGTTATTCTTCACAGACTCCATATACTGATCAAACGGAACTATAAACTCAGATGGACTTGTCCTGTCGCAAACAAAACAACAAAATGTATGCACGTTTAGTCGAGTAACAATGCCAAGAATCAGACACAGACAAAAACAACAAAGAGCAGCTGTTTTGTGAGCATAATCAAAAGAAACCTTGGTTTGTAGTAGACTGTAAACATAGTTCCGGTAGAAATGGCGTGCCATGCCGTAGCCAATACTCCAAGATGCATGCTATGGCTTGATATAACAGAAGATGGCACATTTCCTTGTTGACGCATTGCACGCCTTACCCCCACGCGTAATTCTCCATTCTCGCCCCTACAAAAAGAATAAGATATTTCACATTTAGAAAAGCAAACAGATACATCTCAAGAATTTCATGAACATTTACAAACCTTAGAAATATAAATGCATCGCCTGCAACCAGCCTCTTGGAGCTAACAAACACGCTCCACCCACTCTGAAGAAGATGCCTTCGTGGTTGACCTGGTATAACATTATCACAAATATCAACACACCACAGTCGTTTGATGACACAAAGACTCAACGAACATATATTAAAAGAACAATTGCTCATAAAAATTCCTTTACCTCGGAAAATATGTCTGAAACGCCATTCGTTTGCATGCAAATCCTTTGCAACTAACTCTTGAGTAGGAGGTTGGCGTGACATATCCTGAGAGACGAAACATGGGTCGAATTAAGGACGAACTTTTAACAAAGCTCAGGAAATTAGGTGAAACAGATATTAGCAGCTAAATAAGAGGAAATGAAGACACCAACCAGAGGTGGGAGACATTCATCCGCATGCCGCCTAAGAACAGAAAATCCACCGTGTGTACTTGTGTCCGATGCAGTCAAGGTTTTGCAGAACGAGTGCACTTGGAAACGCGGTGGCGGAGGAGGAGGCGCCTCTTTCTCAATTGCATTCTCGTCTTGCTGTATTCAACAACAAACAAAAAAAACATAAATCAAAATCAGCATGTTGAAAAGATGAGATCATCCTACAGCTCTTAAAAGAAATAAATCAGAAATCATTACATTAGACTCAGGAAGAAGAGTTATCTGCGCATAAACTTCGTCGGTGTCTGCCTCTGCCTGCAAAATCAAAAGATAAAATAAGCGTTAGCAGACAATTCAAGACTCAGAAACAAGAACGTTTCCAATGAAAGTGAGAGAAGCCTACCTTTAAATCAACATTAATGACTCGACAAAGGAGCTTCGATGGAAGATTATAGAGAGGCATCTGCTGCTCTGCCGCCTGGTTTGTCGATGCTTCCACCTAATCATCGAGAAAACGACAAAATCAGAACAATAGAAACCAGGAAAATGTCACTAGAAAATCTCAGGCAAATCGAAATCAAAGAGTGAACAAAAAAAAAAAAAAATCTCTCAGAGAAGAAATCTCACCTGCTCGATGTGTCCCTGTGGGAAATAAAAGACTCGGTCGTCTTGTCGAGGGACAGTCACAAGCGGACCGGCGCAAGCGTGCCATAGCTCTCTGTAGAGAGCAGCCTCAGGATCGACTATAAAAAGGTAGAAATCAGGAATTAGATCAACTGAGTCTGTAACCAAAAACAAAGCTAAGAAAAGTCAGAGACGGAGTCTTACCAACACGCTCGGCAGCTGTAGATCGGTTGGAATTACTTTTCTGCCCCTCGCCGGCGACTGGGGCATTTCTGGTCTCCTTCGGGTCACTGTAACCAGCGGAGGGAAAGTTTTCTCCTCCGCGATTTCCTTTCATTGAAACCTCCGAACTCGCCATACCACGGTAGTCTCAAGCTCAGATCTGTTTCATCTGATACCGGAGAAGTCTCTAAGCAGACGAAATCAGCAGGAAAATCTCGAAATCAACCTCTTCTCTTCCAAAAACCTCAAAGCTCGCCTTCGTACTGCACTTGATTCCTTTCTTCGTCTCTATCTCTGTCGCAAACACAATCACCACTGGTTTAGCTCCTTTACATTACCCGATACAGCTACCAGAGAGAGATAAACCCTAGAATCAAACGAGAAACCACCAATTTCACCTCAAATTTTGCTTGATTTAGAGATACAACAACTCCGCTCGCTCGCTCTCTCCACTTCTTCTTTCTCTACTCCTTATGGCTTTTATCGGAGTCACAGACGCTTGTACATCGACGACAAGCCCCCTTTTTCTCTTCTTCTGCTCTCTACTTTCTCTCTCTACTTTCTCTCTCTTTTTATTTCTTTTTTCTTCGTCTTTCCTATCTTTGTTTTCTGGGTCTGAGGCGACCAAAGGCTTAACCAGAGTAGTCAAAACTCGCTTCAATCATTTCAACCGCGGTAAACATCTAACCATACGGAAAACCGGCATTCATCGGTTACCATTCCCCTTTCATACCGGCTATTTCCGGTTGTAACCATTTCCGGGGGACCAGGGTCTGCGACCTCACAAAGCGAAAGACAAGTGACGAAATTATTTTCTTTCCTCCATTTAATTTATTAAATTTAATCTACAGTCTTTTTCTAAAAAGATATTTTGCCATCCCATTTTCTACATAAACATGAATTTTTTCTGTAAGATATATTGAAGAAAATACCTATGTTGAAATCAAGACCAACTAAAAATAACGAAGTGTGCAATAAACCATCTGTTTTGACAAAACAAAAAATAAGAGTGTTAAGCCAGCGGTTGAAATTTATGGAAAGAAAAATGAAAATAATAATTAATGTCAATTTTTGGTAAATTTAATGGTAGTAATTTAGATTAGCAAGTAATAAAGGCTGCTTAACTTTTTTAGATGGGGACTAACGGTGTCAACGCGTCGTGAAAATACGTCGAATATTGATTGGTTAGAAAAGATAACGGAGTTTGTGAACGAGAGCGTCAATAGGAAAGGTGTTGTGTTTTTATTGGGAAGTGGCTTTGTCGTGCTGTAAACAGGCAGGGTCTTGGTGGACGTAGAGAGAAAGACGAGAGAAGACGAGAGAATGGTCTTCTATTTATCTCTTGCTGAATAGCTACGTGGCACCAAAGATAAAGCGCATTATAGCATTCTTTTGATATTTCTGGGTCATTTTCCAAGCTCTTTTGACTATCATGCGCTTTTGAGAATTTTCATCTCGTGAATCTCTCGTATTTAATTTACCCTGTTTTTCTTTTTATGGAAAAACAATGACGTTTCATTATTGTTTTTGTTTCTTAATTAAAATTACAAGTCAAACAATACCAAAATAAAAACATTGTCGAATATTATATGAACTGGAAACTATGTTAAAAATATGTAAAATACAATGTCTTGTTGGCCGGACGAAAATAGAAAATTCGAACAAATTATTCCATTTGTAGTACTCGAGTTATTACCTTATGAACAAGTAAAAAATATTCTCCTGCTCCTTTTGTTACTTTTCAAATCTTTTTAAGGAGAGAAAATATTCTTTTCAGTTTTTGTTTAGTAAAACTAAATTACAAGATAAAATTTTGCAAATCTCTAAAAAATTATACTGTGCACCTCGTCATAAATCTGGATGCTAATATGGAAACTTAATGAAGAAACATGGTTTCTAAATCCAAAAAAAAAAAAATCTAGTTTCTAAAAATAAATGAAAATATTGTAACCACTTCATATACAGCTGGCAAACGGATTAATTAGTGTTCTTACAAAAAACAATCATGTCCAAATTACGAATGAACCTTTTATATCCCATTATTCATGTTATTTGTATTTGATAGTTTGTACAATTTACAAATGATCTTCATGTTACAAGCTAGTTTACTGTTTTCTAAAACATATTTTTTAAACAAAATAAAGACATAATTGCTGCATGAAATATTTTAACACAAACCAGATATTTCGTCTAGAATAAAAATGTTTAAAGTGAATGATAAGATATTTCACGTTATTATATGAATTCTATGACAATTGGACAATCATGCAATGCATTTGGATTTTTTTAATAAGAACCAAATTTGTCGATACAATTTTTACATGTGTCAACGTTGCATACATTATACCAAAATAGATATAATGTATTTAATTTCCGCAAGCATGATAATACATATCATATTATTGTACGAATTCTATGACAATTGGACAATCATGCATCAATGTGTTACAAAAACAAATTTGTCGTGACATTTTTCATATATGACAAACTTTACATACGTTACACCAAAAAATATATAATTCATTTAATTTCCGCATGAATAATAAGATATTTCACGTTATTGTACAGGTTCTATGACAGTTGGACAGTCATGCATCAATGCGTTAAAATACTTTTTATAAGAAACAGATTTGTCGTGACATTTTTCATATATGACAAACCTTGCATATGTTACAAAAAAAAAAATATAATTCATTTAATTTCCGCATGAATAATAAGATATTTCACGTTATTGTACGGGTTCTATGACAGTTGGACAATCATGCATCAATGCATTACAATACTTTTCATAAGAAACAGATTCGTCGTGACATTTTTCATATATGACAACACTTGCATACTTTATATCAAAATATATATAGTTTATTTAATTTTGGCATGAATGATAAGATATTTCACGTTATTGTACGGGTTCTATAACAGTTGGACAATCATGCATCAATGCGTTACAATACTTTTCATAAGAAACAGATTCGTCGTGACATTTTTCATATATGACAAAATTTGCATACTTTTTATCAAAATATATATAGTTTATTTATTTTCGCATGAATGATAAGATATTTCACGTTATTGTATGGGTTCTATGACAATTGGACAATCATGCATTGGTGCGTTTCAGTACATTTTTGTAAGAAACAGATTCTTCGTAACATTTTTCATATATGACAAATCTTGCATACTTTATACCAAAATAGATATAAATTGCATGAATGATAAGATATTCTACGTTATTACACGAATTCTATGACAATTGGACAATCATACACATTGGTACGTTTCGATACATTTTTATAAGCAATAAATTTGTCGCGACATTTTCCGCATTTGACAACCATACATGTTTTACACTAATAGATTTTTTTAATTTAGATTCTCACTTGTTAAATGTCATAAATTTTGTGTTCGATTCATATGTTCGATAATTCATTTTATCAACATGTATATTATATGAACATTGCAAATAATTTACCAGTTTGTCAATTAGTTTTGTTTATTCTTTATGTATCAATTCAACACGCTAAAGATAGAATTAAAACAGTGTTTCTTCCTTCGAACAGTGTCCAGCATTAACACGTTACACGCGATATGTCGAGGAGACGATATAGCGGACGAGAAATTGGGAGAGATAATTCACGTGTTGGTAACGCACTTGCTAAAGAGGTGTGGGACCCAAGAGTACTGTGTAGCATTTGTGTGTGGTCTAAAAGCAACCATAGTAGGAATCTTTGTCCGTTAAAAAGAAAAACCCTTTCTTTTCTTTCTTCTTTTTTTTTTTTATTTAATCTTACCCAAAATCAAATCTATGGAAGTCTTTCAAGTTTAAACGTAAATCACCGTTTTGATTAAAAAAATAAAATAAAGAAAAGTCCATCACCATATAAAATAAAATAACGATCTGGTGTCCTGAAAGCCTACGAAATTATACCTTGTCAATTTAATAATCGAACACACAAAAAAGTAGACACAGCTTTCTCAGAGCATGTGTTAGCTGATTAGCTCGTTATATACATTTCATTTCTTACTACATACTGTATTATTGAATTATCCATACCATGTCGTACAGAGCTGATCAATTTTATTTCTTGGATTCCTACTCAGACTTAAATATAATCTGACGAGTATATATAAATTTTAAAATTTTGATATGGACTTTTAAAATTTTACATTTGGCATAATAGTTTTTTTTAAAGAAATACCATCTCATTTGTTTTTAAAAGAATACTATCATACATTCCAATAAAATCATGTCTTTTAAGTACAAAATAATCTGGTATTATAATAAGTACATGTAAAATAAATTATTCTTTCGAATCTCTTAAGTCTTCCGAGTATTTCAGTTATATAAACAGGATATATCAACATAAGTTTGGATAATTTTGCAAATAGTTTGAAGCTAATACACCTCTTTAATCACCTCGTTATTTCAATCTTGTATAAATTTCAAATATATAGTACTATCATTTTCGGTGAAATTAAATCTGTATTATATTATAAAAGTAAGGACCATTATTGGGACAAATACATAGTGATAGACCTATAAGTGAAACTAATAGTACAAGAAGTATTAAATACAGAGGTTGGCAAACAAAAATAGACTAAATAGTACACTATCAAATATGGTTAAAAAGATAAGTATAACAAAAAATCATTTAATTTCGGTTTTATAAATTGATATTATCGACGGATATATCAACTATCGAGGTGCGTATAGTAGTACATGCTCACACACGTGAATGTCCCCTTTATATGTCAATTTCTAATAGCTAAAGTAAATCTATATAGCCATCTATTTTCAATAGTATTTATTTTGTTTCCGTAATATTGATGATCGGTCCATGATGTGTTCAAATTGGAGGAAATAGGGTTGATGGAAAACGAGCAAAATGTGCTCTGTTTTTGTTGTTGTCTTTCAAGTTACGAAATCCTGTTTGGTATCCATAATTATTTCAAACCATATTCGTAAAATATCGAAACTATAAGACTTAATTTGAGTATTTTCCTTTCTTTTTGTTGTCGGCAATTTGAGTATTTTCCTATGTTGTAGAATAAGATCATGTGACACTCTACTGTAGAAACACATTGCAAGAAACACAAATGTTGGCAAAATGAACGAAAATATATTCCTTAACACTGTTAATGTGTCATTACCAACCCATGATAAGATGTTTTCAGGTTAACCTTTATACAATTTTAATTTAATATAGAAAATAGGGTGGGGCTGAAATACATATAGTAAAAGGGGGAGCATATAATATTTGTGTAATACAACATAATTTAATTAATTTTGTGGACTTTGTTTTGTTGCACATACTTATTTTATTTAAAAAACAACGTGAAGTGATTACACTGGGACCTACACGTGTCGCCAGATTAAGGAGCACTAATTCAAGAAATGGGTCACGCCTTCATGCTTCCTTTCTCCTAATCTCTTCCCTCTTTGAACCCTAACCTACAGACCAACCCCTACTTTCCCTGGTTATTCTTAAATAACAATATCCCTCTTAATTAATTGTTTTCTTAAACTATTAATATTAGTCTTATTTTTTCGTCAACAGCAACTAAAGCTGGAACGTAGGAAGGTAATACAAATTTCATTTCGTACATGATATGGAAAAAAATTAACTTAACTACGAAACAAATAACACTATACATTAATCTTTATCGATTAAATAACAGAAAAAAAAAAATGATCTTTGAACCTTATCGCAACAATGCCACATCATATCGCACTCTGTCATCTCTAAAGAGTGAGACACACGCGCTCACGGACACAAGTGCCGGATTCCAACCGAATTTATCCAATCGGATTTATTAAAAGAGGTCTGATTACTCACAGTAGTAGTAGTAGTCACTGGTCATGTACAAAATGGCTCGTAAGAGATCTGATTGGCGGACTCGAGCCATGCTATTCAAACGAGTTGATTAAGCGTCGTTTTTGCATGTGGGCTAACGCTGGAGTGACCTGCCGGTTACCCAGAGAACGAATGATCACACGCCACGCGGTGAGCAGTCCCCTTTCCAACGCACGTGGGTCTCGCAGGTAAAAGCCAGAAATGAATTACTCTTTCCTCTTTATTTTTCCTTATAAATATGAATATTATTTTAAAAAGTTTGTTCCTATCGAGTTCGGTTACGTCTAGTCACGCACGCACGTTGCGTGACAGTCGTTTAGATGAAGAAACGGGCTAGGCTAGACTACAGATGATGACGTCATTTTAACTCAATAAAACACTAATTATATTATTATTGAGTTGTAGTAGTATAATTTTTATTAATGACTTTTCTATCTTTCTCGTAGATAAAAGGTGAGAATCATATCTTAAAGCTGGAAAAAAATACACAACACGAACTTTAAAACGGTCCAGCCAAATAAAGCACCCTACCTACCTGCGTCTTCTTTAATCGCATGTATTATTGCACCAGATTGCAATTAGTTTAATTGATCAGGATTATTTCAATTATGTTGTAATCAGCTTCTTTTTTTTGTCACTAGTTTTATAAATCTGTCTTTCACTTAATTTATCACACATTTTGGTACAAGATAAAACATAGAAGTACTATGCGTAAATGAATTGTGAAAACTCATAAATTTTCATATAAAAACAAACAAAACCTCTAAACACCCAATCACCCATATACATTACTATATAGTCTATAATAGCCGTCCATGTACGTCAATTGACTTGGAATCATAGGACTGATTAAATAAAACGTTTATTTTATTTTAATGTTAAGTTAATCGCATGGCTCCATCATAGAAGAAGATAACTTCCACAAGTCAATTAGAGATAACATTAAAACAAAAACAAATTTAGAGATAACATACTTAATTATACCTAAGCATAATCAATCGTCGACAAAATCAAAGTATAACAGATCAACTTATTCATTAGGCATATGGCAAGTGTCAAGACATCATAAAAAACATTTGTGCTGGACATTTTGGACGTCTTTATATCCCCAAATACATCAACTATATAGTTAACGACTTAAGTTAATATTGCTTTAAAACAAATACTTGTAGTTATAAAGACTTACTAAACTCTAGCAGGTTTGTTATAGATGGTGGAATAGTTTTCAAAATTATTTCGCCTTTTTTTTTTTAAAAAATAGCAACTTGATAATTATTAATTGCTCTTTAATTTTTGTTCCAATTAACCGGACTTGTCAAGAATAAGATGTCCTCGTAATTCGGTTCGTCTAATTAAGAATAGTTTCATACAAAAAAATATTGTTTGCTCCGGTCGTATTATAACGAAAATACGACAAAATTAATTTTCTTAATCATCTGTAACAATCTTAAATACGGACTCTCCCCCACCGACAGTGCTTCAATGTTGTCGGCTTATGCCATTTATTAAAATCGTCGCCGGAAACTTGTTTTTAAATACAAGTGTTAATGTAAAAGTTCAGAAACAATCATGCAAATCAGCAAATGTAGCATTCTGAACAAAAAAAACATTAATCTGAGAACTTTCATAAGTTTTTCTTTTGGTTAGACAGGGTAAATCTTACTTTGGCAGAATATAACTGTTTGCTAATAGAATTTGGAAAACTTATCTTTCTCGATGAAGAAATACTATTTCTGTCTAAGCATCACTTGATTTTTTCTTTTTTTTACCTATAATCGTTTTCTTTGACCGTCATAGAGCACAGATTATTATTTTATATTATCAATCAACTTAATGGTTATTCAAATGGAATGCACTCGTTTTTGTAGCCAACTTGGGTCGTAGTAGTACTTAAATGTAGCTAATGACGATGAAAGCGTCTAAGATTATTTTAGTCATGCTCGATTAACTTGCTTTCATTAGTCACTGCTTCCTTGCTTCCAACACGATGATTCGATTTTTTCTTTCTTTTGTTTGTGTGTGTGCAAAGCTTAATCAATTAGGAAAAATGTAACAATAGTAAAAACCAACATTTCTAAGCTGATTTTTTTTTGGTGAATGGAATTTTAACTTGGATTCGCATGATTACTTGACAATGTTATCATATTTAACGATTTGGAGAGCAAGTTTCATCGATAGCATATCGCTTTATCTAACTATGATTTGTTTGAATCATAGTTAGTAGTTAGTTTTCATGATTAAAGAGGTTTAAGTGGCGTTTTATCAAAATCTATGGTAATCTAGAAGTCAAATACGACCACACAAAAGAGATTAAACCCATGGTTTTTTTTACCCCTCGCGTATTTACAAAAAGAAATCGTCTAGACTACATGTAATTATACACACACATATGCTGTGGAAATGTGGAATTAGTTAGAAGTTTAGAACACGTTCAACAATTTTAAACAAGTGATATATTAACAATTAGTTTATGTTTACCCATACCCGTCGACTTTTCTTCGTTTTTTGTTTGGCTCATGTCAAAACAAAATAAGAAAGAGATTTGGTCAAACCATGCATTTCACACACTATGTATTTGGGTAAACATTCATGCACCATTTGAAATTCCCACTCTAGTGGGGATCTTCATCATATCTCTCCCATAACCCCTCCATACAAGTTTCTTTAGACCTACACACTCTTATTTTATTTTATTCTACGTCTCTCGTCAACTAATAACATACCAGAACTTTGATTATTTTATTTTTTTTAATATTTTCTGTAAAAATCGTAAATCACGTGGAATTTCCCGGAAATGCAAATTCAGACATGTTCGGCGATTTTAAGTTTGTCCCGCGAAAAAGGAGCACATAAGTATCTGGGCCCAAAAGCCCAAATAATAGTGGGCTATTATTTAATCGTATTTTGATTTAATCTTCTCCGACGAGGTTTCTGAATCACCGGTAACGGAGAGATGATGGGATCAACGATTTTCAGGAAGAGATGTTTTGCTGTGAGACTGAGAGGGACTTCTTTACTTTTCCGATCGTTTTCCGTTCCCGTTGGGAAAACTCCCGACGCATCAGCTGAAATAGCGGGAATCCTCAACCAAGGGAACTGGCGCGACGCTCTGAGCTCTTCGAATCTTTCGATCGAGCTGAATCCAGAAGTGGTTCTATCCGTTTTACGATCTAAACGCGTCGACGATCCCGCTAGGCTTTTGAGTTTCTTCAACTGGGTCGATTCTCAGAAGGTCACGGAGCAGAAGCTGGATTCGTTTACGTCTCTCGCTTCGGTACTGTGTCATTTCGGTAGTTTTGCGCAAGCTCATAGTGTTGTAATCCGGATGATTGAGAGGAAATGGCCTGTAGATGAGGTTTGGAGTTCGGTTGTGAGATGCTCGCGAGAGTTTGCGGGAAAGGGTAGTGACGACGGAGCTCTGTTTTGGATATTGATTAATGGGTACATTGAGAAAGGGCTATTAGATGAAGCTGTTTTCGCGATTTATAGGGCTATAGATTTGGAATTGGTTCCTGCTTCGGCGAGATGTAACCATTTGTTGGATGCGTTGTGTAAAAAGGGAGATCTGGATGAAGCACTTGAGCTGAAGAAGTCGATGATTTGCAAAGGATTGGTGCCATTGAAGCAATCGTACAACATGCTTATAGATGGATTGTGTAAGCGAAACAGACTAGAAGTTGCTAAATCGTTGTTGGTAGAGATGAATAGTCTTGGTGTGTTTCCTGATAATGTGACTTGTAGTATTCTGATTGAGGGTTTACTCAAGGGGAGAGATGCAGATGCTGCGAATGGACTAGTCCATGAGATGGTTTCTAATGGAGTCAACATTGATCCTAAGGTGTATGATTCTTTTGTTTGTGTGATGTCAAAGGAAGGGGCTATGGAGAAGGCAAAGGCTCTCTTCGATGGGATGATCACGTCGGGAGTGACACCTGGTGCTCGGGCTTATGCGAGTTTGATCGAGGGGTACTTTCGAGAGAAGAATGTACTCAATGGTTGTGAGTTACTTGTTGAAATGAAAAAGAGGAACATCGTTGTATCTCCATATGTTTATGGTACAGCGGTGAAAGGCATGTGTTCTTCTGGGGATCTTGATGGAGCTTATAACATTGTGAAGGAAATGGGTGCAAGTGGATGCAGACCCAATGTGGTTATATATACAACTTTGATCAAAACCTTTCTCCAGAAGAGTAGCTTTGAAGATGCAGTGAGGGTGTTGAAAGAAATGAAGGAACAAGGAATCGCACCAGACACGTTTTGCTACAATTCCTTTATCATTGGCCTTTCAAAGGCCAAAAGGATGGAAGAAGCAAGGTCTTATCTGGTTGAAATGGTCGAGAACGGATTAAAGCCTGATGCTTTCACCTATGGGGCTTTTATCAGTGGATATATAGAGGCAGGGGAATTTGCAACCGCGGACAAGTATGTCAAAGAGATGCTGGATTGTGGTGTAGTTCCGAATAAGGTCTTTTGCACGGGACTGATCAGTGAGTATTGCAAAAAGGGGAAAGTAGTAGAAGCGTGCTCGGCGTTCAGATCCATGGTCGAAGGAGGGATCTCTGGGGATGCTAAGACATACACTGTTCTTATGAACGGTCTTGTTAAGAACGGCAAAGTAAATGATGCGGAGGAGATTTTCCAGGAAATGCGTGGAAAGGGTATTAAACCTGATGTATTCTCGTACGGTACGCTCATTGATGGGTTTTCAAAGTTGGGGAATATGCAAGAGGCTACTCGTTTATTTGATGAGATGGATCAAGAAGGTGTGGCTCCTAACGTCATCGTATACAACATGTTGCTTGGTGGCTTCTGCAGGTCTTTTGAAATGGAAAGAGCTAAGGAACTTTTCAACGGAATGTCAGGGAAAGGTTTCCCACCTAATGCAGTGACTTACTGTACAATGATAGACGGATGTTGCAAAACCGGGGATCTAGCGGAGGCTTTCCGGTTATTCAACGAGATGAAGCTAAACGGATTAGTTCCTGATAGTTTTGTGTACACAACGCTCGTGGATGGGTGTTGCAGATGGAACGATGAGGAAAGAGCCTTAAGTCTCTTTGAGACGAACGAGAAGGATTGTGTTTCTACCGCCGCCCCTTTCAATGCTTATATCAATTGGGTTTTCAAGTTTGGGAAAACAGAATCGATAAATCGGCTAATGATGGATGGGTCGTTTGATAGGTTTAGCAAGTGCAATGATGTGACATACAACATTATGATTGATTATCTCTGCAAGGAAGGAAATGTGGAAGCTGGGAAAGACCTTTTGCTGCAGATGAAGGCGGCGAGCCTGATGCCTAGTGTTGTAACTTACACGTCTCTTCTAAACGGGTATGAAAAACTGGGTAGAAGATCCGAAATGTTTGATATATTCGACGAGGCTATAGCTGCAGGAATCGAGCCGGACGGGATAATGTACAGTGTTATCATTAGTGCTTTCCTGAGAGAAGGGATGACGACGAAGGCGCTTGTGCTAGTGGATGAAATGTTTGCTAAGAACGCTGTTGCTGATGGGTGTAAGCTAAGTGTATCAACGTGCAGGGCTCTGCTTTCTGGTTTTGCTAAAGTGGGAGAAATGGAGGCGGCTGAGAAGGTTATGGTGAATATGGTTCGGCTCAATTATGTTCCTGAGTCCTCGAGTGTTATTGAGTTAATCAATGAGAGTTGCGTTTCAACAAACCAAAACATGGAAGCCGATGCTGCTTCATAAATTTGTCAGACGAAAAGCCAAAAAGCAGATAAAGTTCCAAAGGAGACTGCTGGGTTTTGACTTCGTCATTTCTCACTCGTCTAGGCCAATTCATTTGCTTCAGAACGGATTTTGCCTTCAGCTAGACATTTTGGATTCGATTGATTTACTTCTCACTTCTCACTTCTCAGCAGTTTCCATCATGATGACATCTCCGAAGTTGATGATGAATGGGAGACAAAACTAAGCTGTTTATCTTGGAATTTCTATAGGCTAGGAACAATCCAGTTTAAGAAGAGAGAAAGCAGGTTTGTAGTTAATGATATCTCCTGATCATCTCACGTTTGTAAAACGTTTCATGTACTAAATGTAACAAGTGATGTTGCGACTAAAAGCGTTTTACAGTAAATTCTTGATCAAAGAAGATTGTCGAAACACATTACGTTGAAACACATGACACATCAATCAAATGATCTGGTTTTGTGGATTAAGACTTTATATGTTGTCATATTGATGTTTCAAAGCAGGTTCGTTGTGGTGAACCACAAATTGTCTGAAATCGAAGAACACAATTGTGTCTTTGTCTTTCATTACAGAAACAAGAAAAACAGAGGTTTTTATCTTACAGAACATACAACCCCATAAAAGACCATATGTACACCAGAGTATATAAACAAGTAATATCAACCTAAAAAGCACCAAGAACCCCAAAAAAAACAAAATCTACATGTACTGTATTCTCTAAGCTCTTCATGAACAAATCGCCGATTAAATGGGCAAAAAAGAGAATGTGAAACAATCTAAGCAGGCGGAAAAAGAGTTCAGTAGAGAGCAACATTTCTCTAGTGCTATACCATTCCGCTTTCTGTGTATTAAGCAAATGAGATGGTCAATTCGATTCATCATCAGTGTATGTTATCATCTTTTGGAGTCTGTTAATAAAGCAATCAGTTCGCTGTCGTTGAGGTCTGTCTCCGAAGCATACTTCACCGGTATGTTATTCTCTTTATCCACAGCATTTGGATCTCCTCCCCTGTGATTCAATCATTGTATCAGACTTCTAACACACCTGTTTGATAAAAGCTAAGAAGATCTCAAGATGAAGTCTATTTTGAGTTTACCTCATAAGTAGCAACCTTGCAATTGCATATCTCCTGCTGATGATACAATGGTGAAGTGGAGTCCGACCTTTCGAATCCGTTGCATTGATCTTCGCGCCGTACTGAAGCAAAAGTTCCACCATACCGATATCCGCAGAGAGACAAGCGAGGTGAAGCAAAGAACAGTCGCTTGAAGTCTCTTCTCTGACCGTACTTTCAGAGTTTGAATATCCCTCTGGATTCTCACTAAACTCCTCTTCAATGCTCTTGAATTTGGCTTCAAGTGTTTCCTCCTTGGCTTCCATCTGCATCATCTTTGCTAAAGGCAAAGACACTGTGTACGATGCTTGTCCACGTAGCGCATTCACATCTGCTTCAGAGCAGACAATGTGTCTGTAAACTGATTTCTTGTCGTTGGCTCGGACATTCTCCCATATCTCTTGGAAAACTGCCTCAAAATGCTCACTATCTGTTGCTTTCCGGACAAAAATCCTCTCTGAGTACTGTAATTAGCCATTGAAGTTAGCAACATAGATCTTCAAAAACTTTGCTCATTAACTCACAGACTCACAGACTGATATAATAATATACCTTTGCGTGAATGAACAACTCTTTAACAGAAATGGGATCGTTGAAACCAGGCTTCCTTGCAAGAAACTTTCTTGGTCGATCTGACTTGGGAGTGCTAATAACATAGAAAGAAGTTTTAATACTTTGTAAAACACATGCAAGAAGTAGTTTGTGATGAGAGAATGCTTATAGTCACTTACCCTGAAGAAGACTTACTAGCACTTGAAGATCTACTCTCTGAGTTCAACAACTCCTCCCACACTGAGTTTACATAAACGTTACCTAACGACTGGAACAGCGTCAAGACCGATGGCTCCCATACTTTAACATCAAGTGTGAGTGATCTCACCTGCACGACAAGGTTGGATACTTTTAAAGACAAACCACCATGTGAGAAGCCTGAGAGTGTTTGATTTTTGAATGGCTTTACCTTTGAAATGTGAACACCAAGGTTACGATGTATACCAGAACATTCAATACATATGAGGACACCGAGGTTTAAAGAGGCCCAATCAGGTTCAGGAGCACCACAATCTGCACATTTCTCATTCCCCAAGACTCTTGTCAAGACATCAATTGGCTTTTCAGTCTTGGCCATGTCATGCTGCTGCAAGCACCCTGAGAACCTCGAACGGTTTCTTTCAGTCATGGGGTTGTCCATTGTGGATTCTCCAATCTCTGCCTGCTCGATGTCATATGGATCTGCTAAAGAACCTGAATCACTTGCAGAGAACGTATCTCCTCCGTCCACTGTAGAAAGACGCTGTAACAATTTGCAAGAAATGATGTTCTTTAGTGAAAAACGATACCAAGAAAGATTCAGATGTAAGTAGCTTATGAAGCCTTACCATGATTGCTCTTTCAGGTGTTTGGAAACTCAGCAAAGAAGCAATCACACCGGTTATCTTCTCGATCCAGTCCATCTGATCCTGCGCATTCTCTGCCTACATCAATAACAATTCAAGAAGTTCCAGTCAGTCAGAGGAAACTGAAGATCTTTTTTCACTTTTCAGCCATGTTCTTGCTAATATACCTGCAATGTATAGACTTTTGTTGGCGAAATGATTCGAAAGCAGAATCTTAGGTCGGTTTGATCTGCATCGACTTTGATCGTTGAGGTCAGCAGATTCACAGTGTGACGTGCAACTGGTTTCTCATCGTGCACACCACCGTGATAATGAGAAGACAGCCACCGGCTTAGCAGTCCAGGACTGTTTTCTGAACTCATATTCCTATGAACAATAGACCGGTTTCCATTTCCCTGATACATAGAGCTTCAAAGATTAAGTAGAGATACAATAAAGGAATCACAAATGTTGTCAATATGTTTTGTCAAGGAAGGATCAAAAAACACATTTTTTTTAATTAGTTTTGCAACTTACTGAAGACCAATTCCATGGCTTACGGTAATAGTAAAGCATCCCACGGCTATCAAGGATAAAGAATCTTCTTTTCCAGTCACCTCTCAAGTTCGAGGAACGTTTAGACAGGTACCCTTGTCTTATGGTCTGAACCTGGAGGACAGTAAAGCCAACTGATAAATATCAAAATGAAGATAACAGAGGAGTTTGATGAGTAGCCTCAGTAGAATTATATTTTATTTACTTTTCCTTTAGCAGCAGACTGCATGACAGACTCAATGACTTTCTGCGAGTTTCTTGAGTTATGTCTCATGCCATCTCCTGTTGGAGAACCACATGAGGTTCTAGTTTCTCTATCAACTTGCCTTTGGTACTCTTGCATCCTTTCATTAAGTGATGCCATCTCGTAGTTTGCACATTCTCTAGACTGGTGTGCATACGCCAACACCTGCCATACAAATTTCAATTCAACATCAAATATTACAGAGAGAATCTCTGCAAATCAGAAGAGACAAGAAGTCTTGTATTATCAGACCTGATTAATAAAAGGCTCCATTTGGTGTAGCAGCTCATATCCCTGAAAGAAGGAATCACTTGTGAGAAAGCGAATCAAGTTAGGGAGCAGGAAAAGAGACTAATGTATGATATAGGTTTCCTTGTAAAACCAAATTGATTGGTTACAGTTAAAGAAAGTTTTTTTTGTGTTCTTGCTTCTAAAAAGCTTTGTTTTAAAGAAAAAGCTTGCCTGTTTGAAGAAACGGAGATGAGCATCCATCGTTCCACTGACTGCTTCCAAGAACTCAAATCTCTTTTTAGCTTCCGCATTAGAGAGTGCACTAACCTGGACAGGAAGAAGCAAGCAAGCAAGCATTATGTACGTTTACATAAGAGAATACCTTTTGGAATTCTCGTAGCATCTTAACACAAAGTGTTTACCAGATGAAACCGGGCTTGCTCAAACGTTGTTCTTGCGCTATGTAGGTCCTGAAAATGTCTCTCTACCAATATTAGTTTTTCCAGAAGAAAAAAAAAGTGAATGTTTACTTGGTAAACAAAGTACTGTAATAAGGATATTTGACATACCTCCTCAATTGTGGCAGCTACATCCAATCTTGTACTCTTCCTTAATGAAAGATATTTCTCTCGTGCCTGTTTTCATTCAGATGCACATAAATGGAAGATCTTTACGCATAAATTGACACATTTTGAAGTCATTCAACGCACCTGATCGTATACAACGGAAGCTTTGTCAAACCGTTTACGTGCTTCCTACATGAGAGAAATAAAAGTTGGATCTGATGTAAGTCAAAGCCATTCAGGGAAAATGTTGAGCATACATACAAGAATGTTTGGCGTGTCATGTATAACTAAGAATATATATATATATATATATATATATACCTTAACTTCTTGGACATCAACATTCACAAACTGAAGCAACCGATCATTCAGCATGTGTTCTACCTGAAAAAGTGTTGACAAAACATCATAGCTCAGTTATGCACTTGTTCAATATAGAGAGATATTTGCAGGCATTGGATTTTTTCAGTACCTGAGAACGAAGAACTTCCTTGTAAGTTCCGATTTCTCGTAGAGCAATATTGAATTTTGTCATTACAGGACCTGAGAGAAAAACAAGATATTTCTTCCTTGAGATAAAAGAGCATGAAAGAAGAAATAGTAAAGAGAAAGAAGAAGAAGAAGGGAGGTACCTCCAAAAGCAACACAGATGGGATCATTATGGCCTCCACCGAAAGATTCAAGTGCGTTTGCGAATCCAATATCTGCATCATACCCTTCTCCGAGTCCCTCCCTAATTATCCAAAGAAAAATCAAAATCAAAATTATTACACAGACAGCTGAAGATAGTGTAATTGTGTAAGAGAGCTTACGTGTATTTTTTGCTTCCTTTATAGAACCTTAAGCATCGCATTCGCAGCATCTCCGCACTCTCTTCCATACTTTGCATCTGTTTTCCAAAAAATTGACCAAAATCTAAATCAAACAGTAACAAACATATCAAATTAGAAGTCAACTCCTACATTTTGACATCTAGAAAAAACAACATTGCAAATTTCACAGAGAATCATGATCATCGGATTTTGTCTTAATAATCTAAATCGGATTGAAATTGATGAAAAGTTACGAATTTGTGATACATCATTATTTTCATCCACATTTCCGCAATGTATCCGAAATTACAGGCGCATTGTACAAGAAAAACCAATTTTTTATTTTTTATTCTTTGATCATAGATTGGCAAGAGAAATTAAACAGAACATACAATATCTCTATCTCTTGAGCAATGGAATCGATGAAGAAGCTGGAAAATGAGACTGATCGAATTGAAAATGAAAAAAAAAAAATTAAAAAACCTGTTGGCGAAACATGGGCGAATCATCGAGCTTAGCGAAATGCATTTTTCACTGGGAAATGCAAGAGACCAAGAACGATCCTCCTCTTCCGTCTTTTTCTTCTTCGTCGTCGTCGTCTTCCACGTATAGAAGTCTCCTCCACTTTGGATGGATAAATTGGAAAATGCCGGTTACCGGAGACGCGGACAGAGCTTATTACGGTGTTTTTTTTTTCCCTCCCAAAGAAAAAACGGAAAAAGTAAATGTTATGTCTTTTTTGGAAATCGGAAGCCTTGTTTTGGGGATTATGGGGATGGTTGAGAAGTGGGGAAAATGGGCGCAAAAGAAGGGAAAGATCGTGCGATGGAGAACAACAAAACAAAATTATACTCTTTCTCTCTTGTTGTCTTGTGGTGAATTGATCGATCGTGTGTCTTACAAAACCTTTGAAACCTTCCATGCCTGTCCCTTTTCTTAAATATCTTTTTATAAACTAACCACAAATAAATTAAGGGAAGCTAATAAAAATTACTAATACCACATCAAAATAAGCTTCTAAAATCCAAAATTGTTATGATCAATGGTAAACAACCTTTTAAGAGAATGCTTTTTAGAAATAAGTCAATTGGTAATATGGTAGGGATGATCAACGAATAACGAGGCAACATGCATGAGTCATACCATAAATTCGCGAGTCCAGTTCCAATTCAATTGTAAATTGAGAGAGAGTATTTACTTACTTTACTGCGAATAAAGAAAAGAGGAAATCCAAAGTAGTTGACTTTTTAAGATTAAAAATTCCGAGAGGAGAAACATCCTAAAACTCTGAACGTGTGAGAAACTACAGAATTATTGGGAACGCTTTTGCTTCTTTTCTTTTCCTAATCATCGGATTCGAACCTATTAGTTACATTTACAAAAAAATAAACAGAACATAATAGACTCATCACCATCCATAGAGACAAGGTCTGAAGTCTGAACTCTGAAGTATGTGTGAATCCTTTGGTGTCTATATGCCTTAGCCGGTAAAGGTTTTAAAACCAGAATCTTTCTACAGTGTACAAGGATAACTGACGTTATATAAAAAAACGGAGACAAATCATAATAGAGATAAGATAACAACAAAATGTCTATATTTCCAAAATTTCAAGTTTCACTAAATGAAAAGCAAAATGTAAACCTCGTTCTAAACTGTGATTCTTTAAAAAACTAAACCAAAAAAAAAAAAAAAAAACTTTAAAAAGGAAATCTTCAAGCATTTCGCTTCAGAAGCTAATAAAGGGCAACAATAAGTCTCAGAGTCTGTTAAAAAAAGGGAAACCGAATCAGAGATTCTTTTAACTTGAGAGAGGTTGAAAGTTTCATCCCCAGAAACGGCTGATGAGTCCTTTCCGGGTTTTCTTCATCCTGTTTTCGATATCCGGGAATGTAATGCAGTTGTAGGCGAGGTCTAGAACGATTGGATTACGCGGTATCGACTGGAACGCTGGTGGAAACCGTTCAATCTTTGGGGCTGCTTTCGCGTTTGAATCGCCAACCGCAGATTCATACACATCGAGTTTGTCCAACAGATACTTCTCCACCTGGTTAAAATACACATTTAGCGATATACCATACCAAACAGCCACAAATCAAGAAGGCAAGAAATGAGTACAAAAAAAAAGTGAGATTGTACCTTAGTGGCTGTTTCATTAAGTGATATAGTTGAGATTTTCTTTGACAGATTCTCTGGAGCCTTCTCTTCCTCCATAACCCCAGTCGCATGCTCTATGCAACTGTTAGCTCTGCATTCTTTGCTCAGTGTCTTCAGTTCTTGAATTGTTCCCTGACAATTATTAGAAAATTTGGTCAATGACCATGTATGATGTGACCAATAAATGATAAGTGGATACCTACCTCATCTTTCTTTGCTATGCTCTGAAACTTCTTCAGGGCATCTTCAGCAAGAGATCGAGCACGACAGTACAAGGCAAATGCTTCGACCCTCTTTCCTGCTAGACTATATGACTTTGCCACGTAAAAGCACCTGCAAAAAGAGATTCGAGATTATATCATCAACTAATCTAATCGAGGGTGATGAAAGCTAAATTTATCAGTAAATATATGAAAAGAACTGTGTGGATATCTCAAGACAGGAGCTAAAAAAATATAATAAGAGGTTTTAAGATAGATCAAAAAGTAGTGAGTGGCGAGGAACAGGTTCCTAATTTAATGAATAGGTTTTGCTTGGAAGAGCCTAACTCTAACCACAGATGCTAAAAACAAGTGAAGGGTAAAGGAAGAATTGAACCTTTCAGCACGGAAGGCCAAGCTTTTGCGCTGACACTCTTCTTCAAAGGCAATCTCTTCAGGTTTCCTGTCTCTTCCAGAGCTAATGAGATCAGTCAGATCAGCGACATTCTGAGAGAAAAGAAACACATGAGATGTCTCCTCGGTGATTTGACAAAAGAAAAGCCGCTTTAGAGAAGAAAACAAACAAGTGAACAGTGGTAACCTGTGATAGAAGGTCATACAATCGAACAAGCTCCTCGGGCCTGGTGACCTTTTCACTTTTATCATCACGTTTCCTGTTCAGTTTACTCTTTGCTATTTTAACCAACAACTGGTTCCGTTCAATGGTTCTTTGTCCCAGCACAGCTCCAACAGCTTTGTCCAGACCATTTAGTTCATCTTTAACAGATTCTGCATTTCCTGCATTTACCTAAAAATAGTATGCTCCTTAGCAGAATTAATCAAAGAAGCAACAATGCATAAAAAAACAGATGCTCTTGCTCTCTGGGATAAACAAACTTGTCTACACTTTCAAAATTCTTTATAGGGTAAAAATATTCGGTGAATCCGATCAATAATTCAGGAGGTGTCATCCAAATTCACTCACCAAATCACTACGTATGGTGTTCCTAGCATCAAGATATGCAGTGAATAATTTATCATATATGGTTAGCTTTTTCTCTGCAGGGAGAGATTCTGCTGTTGGACCCTGTAGCTCCTTCTCAAGTTCCTGGGCTGAACAAAGAACAAAGAATAAGAGACTCAGAGAGATGCTCAACTTTCTACAAAGGCAGGTATACTAAAAAAGGGTAACACATAACAGTAACTCCACTGTTAAGGTCAACCAAACTTTTCCCAGATCTAGGACTATGCTATCAGACAAAATTTGTAAAACATAATATAGTAATTCAAAAAGAGAAGATCAGGAAACAAGTAGTCGAACCTTTTAAAATAGAAACCCGAGATTTTGGGTTGGAAACTGGAAATCTGTAGCCAAGCCAGTTAAACTCTGTAAGAGATGCAGCTTGTTGAGATCTGGCCTCTTCCATAGCAGCCTACGTGACAGTGAGTAATATACATCATATTAATAGACCAAAATGTCTGAGGGAGATGAGAAATAGTTCACAACTAAACGATTGCAAGACATTCAAGAGTACTCAAGACCATATACAAGTAATTTGATGTTCATGTGTGTTGGTCACTAAAAGCGAGAATCCAAGTTCCAAACAACAGAGAGGAAAACTCAACGACAAAAAAAATCTGCTGACGCTTTGGTGGTGACGCTGACAGAAAATGATATTTAACTGTGAATATTTATACGCACCTCTATCTTTGCTTTGAAAAGATCCAACGCAGGGCCTTCCATTTCACCAATCTGAAGAAGTTCAGATGTCTGCAAGTTTGATTTGCCAATTTTGTGTAGGCAATATCGAATACTAGGTTCAAGCTCCTCAACCCGTTCCCGGCAAAGAACTTGGTTCTCAAGATCACCATACTTCCCGAGTTCCTCGTACACAGCTCTGCAACGGGAATAATGTTCAGAAACAAAACCTACCAAATTGCAAAATAACAATATTGAACAAAGACAAACCTGGCGTTTTTGAAAGATGCCAACGCAGTTTCCCAGTTTTGATCTTGCTCAAACAACAGAGTACCTTTCATGTAGGAAGCATATGCCTATAAAACAGTAGGATAAAGCATAAAGACTCATGCCGTACGTTTGTAGAGTACACATACATTTTCACGAAAGAGCTAAAGGTAGAAGCCTTATACAGAGTTATTCTCTTCCTTTCAGGGCACTATATCTGCCATATGTATATATATGAATACTGCAGCATTAAGGGTCACAGAAATACCTCAGCTTCCAGAGAAGTCCTGGAATCAGTCTTGATAGAGCACAGACTCGAGAAAAGCGAAGCCCACTTAACAGCCTTCCTTAGCCTACCAATCAAATATATCCGCTGCCGTGCATTAGGCCCATCTGGTAGCTGTCTTTTTTCCATTGCATGGCTCCATGCTCTTTCCGCCATATAGAAAACCACATGAAGAAACCTATTCAAATAAACACATTGTGAGTACAACACAATCACCTATTCATTTATAATGTTAGCAAAAACTGAGCCTTCACAATCTTTCTCTCATGTTCAGCTAAACACAAAATCACAGTAAGCCGAGAAGACAGCTTTTGAGAATTGAGACTATACAGGTCGATTCAAGTATCAGAGGAAGATAAGTACCTAACATCAGTGACAGTCGATTCAATTATGGCTCGTCGCGTGTATTTACCACGGCCATGAGTAAATTTCAAGGACTTGTATAGTCTCCTCAACCGTGCAGAGCAGTACCTCCTACAAATCAAAATAGCACAGATTATAGAAACTCACCTAATTTTTTTCAAAGTGCAGTGTAAGGCGATGAGCAGAGGGTTTCATGTTAATACCGATAGCGAGCATAGTCACCATGTCGCAGACCATGCTGCGCCTGAGAAGTTTTCATCAGCGGCAGAACTGGAAAAACCAAATGCAAACGATGAACAATGTCGAGATTTCTCGTAATGCAGATAAATACCAATTGCCTCAGGAACACCAAATGAATCAATTGAGTAATTTTGCGATCTATGAGAAAAAAACTAACCATTGATCGAGAATCTGGGAAGGATCTGGTCAGAATTTTCGGATTTCGGATCGTCGATCTCCATTGCGGACATCTCGTTCTCCTTCTTCCCCACTATTCCACGGAATTCTAATCAGGAGCCGGCTGAAATATGATAAGCTTCGCCTATCTGAGATTGAAGA